CAACCATCTGTTCTCCCAAGGGAAGTGATATAAAGGGGTTCAAACACTTCTCTTCTGGTACAGGCCTAGGGGTAGACAAACCTTCTGGGACAGATCCCAAGCCCCTCCTCCCAAAGTGGAGAATTGGACTTAGTAGTATTTTGAAATGATATACCTACATGCAGAAGAGTGAAGCCAGTGTGGTAACCTCTCAATACTGTCTAATGATGTTTTGAGACTTATCATCCCCAAAATGGAGGATGGAGAAGGTAGGCCTTTGAAAGGACAACTCTGGTACCAACATAACAAGATATTCTGTCCTTTTTAAGTCTTATTAAACCAGTATCTTGAGTTCTATAAAATTTAGGTGACCAATTCTTCTTTACTATATATTTTTACATGTAAATTTAAAAGAAAAATATATGTATATTCTGAGGTAGTGAAAAAAAAGATTAGTCTGAAAAATAATACAGTATTTTCTCTTCACCATTTTTCATTACTCAATCATTGCCATTTTAATACACACCTAGCTACACTCTTTACCTCTACACAATACTTGGTTGTATAAAATGTCATCTCTACCCTGTACCCTCTACAACTCTAGACAGGATGGACACATTAAAGAGAGTCACACCAAGGCTAATTCAGTGGCATACTAAAGTATCCTGATATACCCACTGGATAAGAAATTTTCAATGGATGACTAGGTCCTATACCCCATTGTAGGCCTAAATCCCCTAGTAATATGCCTTATAATTCATGATTTTTACCTCACTTATGAAACACATAGACTTAGAAAAGCATGAACTTTTCTTAAAAGATAAAGTCTACAAATTACAAGAATAACAGTTAGTGCTTGTGAAGTTCCTGTGATAAATTTTGTTCAAAGTAGTAACCTTACTGTTACTATTAAAGAACAGAGAAGGAACTGCATATGAAACCCACTACACATAAGTCTAATTGGATCTCATCACTGCCAACCATCTGTTCTCCCAAGGGAAGTGATATAAAGGGGTTCAAACACTTCTCTGCTGGTACAGGCCTAGGGGTAGACAAACCTTCTGGGACAGATCCCAAGCCCCTCCTCCCAAAGTGGAGAATTGGACTTAGTAGTATTTTGAAATGATATACCTACATGCAGAAGAGTGAAGCCAGTGTGGTAACCTCTCAATACTGTCTAATGATGTTTTGAGTGGTAAAGAGGTCATAAAGAATAGCATCTTGACCTCTAATACCTATGTTCACTGTAAGAAAAATTCTGGAAAGAAGAGGAGCAACACATGAGACATGCCTGCATCAGTTTCCCATGAGCCTCCTTATAGGTATTTGTCAGAACCTCCCCAGATACATCCATATAGTATCTACATGCAACAATAACCATGCCACAGCATCCAAACTGATACATGTCAAAATGTATTTACTTCTGAGTTATAGGATAATGGATAAATTATTCTTATTTGCTACTTAAAACTTTCCTGTTTTCAAAATTTTCCTCAAAGTGCATTTTTTTAAAGTAACTTTTAAATCCCTTCTTCGAAAAGGTCTTAGTGATTGACTCTAATAAAGAGGGTCCTTTATCTATTAAGTCCTAATATGAAATAAGATGGGAAACTTAATGAAGCTAACTTTGTACATTACTGTCATACCATCATAATGAATTTTGTATTATTGCTTATTGATGATAGGTTTTCCTACACTTTTGAAAAATCTTTACACCTGGCTATATCTAGCTTTCTCATTTAAAGTTGATAAAATATATTCTTCTGGTCTCTCTGTTAGGAGTAGTTGTATTTGTTGTATTTTCAAAAATATATATGGTTTTGGGAGATTTCCGCTGTTCTACTCACGCCACCATCTTGGCTCCGCCCTCCTGATAAAATATATTCTTAATCTTTAAACTAAATTACCTATTATCACATATGTGTTAGTCAGGCTTCTTCCCCTAGAGACTATGATGGTACCTTGGGAGAATAGACTTCCCCTAGAGACTATGATAGGCACTTAATATATAAATACTTGAATAAATGGATATTTTTCTGTACTGGTTATTTTTATTTAAAACACTTATTCCAAAATAATCCTGTTATAATCACTGCCTCTGAGAGTAAAGTAAAAATGTACATTAATTACTTCTTCCCTTTTATTATCAGGGGGCACAGTTTCTAACAGAACTTGCACCTCTGTGTAAGATTTACTGCTCAGATGGAGAAGAATACACCATATCTAGGTGAGTTACTTTTAACCACAATGTAGGAGAAACAAAGTAGGTCATATTTTTCTTCAAAACAATTCTTTTTTTCATAGCTGTGTTAGAGGACGGTTGATGGAAGTGAATGAAAACATTCTCCATAAGCCATCTATTCTTCAAGAGAAGGTAAAAGAGGAGGGGGAAGTATGATTCCCATCCACATACTTTTTATCTGATTTTTGTCATTTGGTAGTACTAAATATTCTGCGTCCTTTCTAGCCGTCCACTGAAGGCTACATTGCAGTTGTGTTGCCCAAATTTAAAGAAAGTAAGAGCATAACAGAAGGGTTACTGACACAAAAACAGTATGAAGAAGTCATGGTGAAACGCATCAATGCCACAACTGCTACATCATGAAGACGGAAGTGGAGTAAAAGCAACACAGCGGTCTTATCCTTATCAGGCCCAACTGATCAGTGCACTAAAGAAGAACCAGCATATGTGAGCCTCTGTAGAGAGGCCTGATCTTAAAACTTAACCTAGTTTTCCCTCTGTCTTGTATAACAAGCCTTGGTTCCCATTTTGTCTTCAGCCTCCCAGGTCTGCCCTGCACACATACTCTCTGTTCTTTTTCTTTCTCTTTCTGACAGCTGGCAAGCAAGGGATGTTTTTTCTGATTAAAAACAAACAAAACTTTGAGGAAAATTTGGAAAGAAAAGTTTTAAGTAGCAAAGTAAAAATAATTTCCCCATGATCCTATTAGCAATACTACATTTTCACATACTTCTGTGTCAATGGTAAGGCATGGTTATTGTTTTTGTCCCAATTTTCCATCATCTGAAGTTAAACAAAAAAAAAACCTGGCCTTCCCAATCTAGCTTCAGTGTGACAGTACCAAAAACTAATCCCAGCCCTCCTGCGTCGGCTCCTCTCGCTCTGAGCTGTCGGGGAGAATCAGTGTGCACTTTCTCTGCTCCTTATGCCATGGGATGGTCTTCCTCTCTGAAACAAAGTAGAACTGTAACTTGCTTCTTAAATGAGAGATGCATGAAAAGGCTTTGAGAAAAACAAAGGGCTCTCCTAACACATGGAAGTATTATAATGCAGTGTTACTGGTAATTGCAATAATAGTTACAGGGTAACCAGCAAAAAGTTTCTTAGAAGTTACTATAATTCATAGATAACAGATGTCTTTCAATAGACAAAAGCTTTCTCATTTAAAAATAAAAAATGTGAATGTCTGGTTTAATATTTATATTTATTCCCATTGAATTTTAAATAAAAGGTGTGTTAAAATTGTTTTTTCCTTAAGGGCTGCAACACATTTAAATCTGTTTTTAAATAAAACAGTTATTTAATGCGGAAGAAATCCATGTGTAAATTCCTTTGGCTCTCTATCCTCTTATGCTGTCAAAGTCATGTCATTCCTCCCTCACCTCCACTTCGAGTTGAATAAGAGAATATTCTCATTTCAGATATATAAAAGTATTTTGCAAGTAAAACTTAGAAATTATTTTTCACTCACAATAAAGACTTGTAATTTGAGTGCCAGCATGACTGTCTCCTAAATACACCTACCAGACATAAATAGGTAGTAACCCTACAGTCATCTACACTGATGTTGCTATGAGCTGAAAACATAAGGACAAGCCAAAAGATCCCCATTTCAAGTACTAACAATGATTCCTGAAGATGTCATAAAACAAAGATACTAAAGATAGTAAAACATATTTACATGCAACATTACCGCACATCATTCTCCCATTATTGCTTTTGTCATTTAAAAATATTTTGGTTTCAGGGAATGAAAGTCATGCTTGATTTTTACAGAACTGAGGTCATTAACCAAGCTGAGTGTATCCCATTCGCTCCCCTAGGCCTACAGTAAGTTCAAGTTCCCTTCGGTAAGAAATTGACTAGCTAACTGGTAGTACTGTGGTTCTTCAGGATCATGTGAATATTGTGATGGCTGACCCAGATAATAATCAGACAAGCTTATGTAACTACTGCCACTTGGCAACTGACATGTTCTGTTAGATTTCAAAATGAATTTCAAAACATTGGGATAGAAGCGCTATCAAATGAGTCTAAAAGTTAACTGTACTATATCATAAGGACAGAATCTATAAACCACCCCAAATCAAAACAAGAAAAACTTGTAACCCTAACATTAAGAAAACTAAAGAAATGCTTTATAATGAATGTTCCAAAGATACATATTTAAAATGTATTGTTATTCGGAATTTATTTTAAACAGCTTCATCATTCTCTGTCTTATAACTTACATTCCATCAGTCACTCCTGAAGGTAGTTCAAAACTATATTTTAAGCCAGTAGGATTCTAGCTAATACTCGGGGCAGACAGGCCAGCTATGCTAGAACAAGAAGTGACGCCACTTCCTAGTGAGTTCCTCCAAATTCTGCGGAGTGAGCTCCGTGACTCTGCTTCTGGGAAGTGGGGAGGGACAAACATAGCTTGTGCTATGTGAAACACTCGTTAGAGAACAAAGGTGTTCTACTAGCATGCATGATCTGTGACAGGACAGCAAGAAGCCCCGTCATGGTGGACTGAGGGATTGAAGAAGAGTTCACAGGTAAGGAAAACCCCGCGTTCACACAGACTATGGTACATTTTCTGCTGAAAACTGTTGTAAATGATAAGCTTACATTTTTTAAAAATAGGAAATTAAGGTAATACACACCAAAAGTGAATATATCCAGAATGGCTTCTTTGGATTAAACTGTCATTAAGACAGCTGGGGTATTTGGTTTGACTTTTAAAGAATGTTATTAGTGACAAAGTCCCATTTTTAAATGATACTGCAATTAGGAATCTAGTAACTACCATGGCATTTATTAGTGTCAGAAAGCTTCACTGTAAGTTTCATGATCGGAAAATTAAGATTTCATTACTGTTTTCTTTATAAAACTGTTGAATTTTTGAAAATACAAAGAATCATTTGCTTTCTAAAAAATATCAGCTTTGCCACATGCTGTTCCAGAGATGTGACCCCAAAGCTTCTCAAGTTTTACCATCCACGGAGTCTTTACTTGTAACTGAGGCCCATCTGTTGTTTTCCATCTGAAGCTGGAAAGAGTTAAGACAATTAATTTTTGTTTTAACCTCAAAAATTACAAAATTAAATAGCAACAATTCTCTTTTGCATTTTCCTTTTAGTTTTTGAAATTTGAGTTTAGGATAGAAAAACTATCTCACCTTTTTCAGCAATTTATAGCAAAGTGAGAGAAGTTGAACCAAAACAGCCATCATAGATCTTGTCTTTGTAATACACTTATCAACCTATAGTGACAGGAAGCAAGCAAATCAAATTCTACAAAGGGTACTTCAGAAGACTTTATCATTATTTTAAACATTATTTAGTTTTAAAATAATAAAATCTCTCCATTATAGAGATCTAAGAGGTCTCAGTAAGTATATAGATTATGGCTCCCAAGACAACTTGAGGCCCCAGAACACAAACGCAGGGACTGCTGCCCCGGTCTCATGCCTATTTCATGGAACCCCAGGAAGAAAGTGTGCAAAATTGACCTGTTCCATTTCAGCTTGTTTAGGGGCTGCTCAGAGCACTCCAGATAGTGGGCAGTGATCTGCCTACTTTGCAATTCTTCACACTCTGCTGTGTTGGCATAAGCTCAAATTCCCCAACACAAACAGTGGGAGTCCCTACTCTGCAGATTCTGTGCCCTGGTGAGACATGGGGTGACACTGGGATTTAAGGGTAACTGTTCAGTGCTTTGGGATTAACCAGGTCCAGAAAGCTATTGTATTTGGTGAACCCACTGCTCCCTAGGGCCAATTATGACTATAGATAATCAGTGAGTCCTGCAGTCAAGACATGAAAAATAGAAATATATTTCCCTTCCATGGGTTTAATACTTTACTTGAGGAAAGGGGGCTGGAAGCTAACCTGATAAAGATACGTGAAAGTTTCTCAAGTATCTCTCTGAATAATCCGCCCTCCCTTTTACCTTCAGAAACACTTGGTTCTGCAAAGGTGTCTTAGTTATTGTCTGGAGCTGGTGGCATAGAGGAATTAGCTTGTTTATTTCCAGGAGAAGCATAAGCTTATCATCATCTTTCAGCTGAAATATAATTTAGGAAGTTGTAATAACTCAAACAAAAACATCTTTTAAACCTTAAATACCTTTATACCTTAATAATATTCCCTCGAAGTGGGTATTCATGACACCACCACCAGCACCAAGCAGGTAGACTTTCATTACCTGTTTTGAGAAAACTTGTACACTTGAAGCAAGCTTTAAGCCCTCTTCAGCAAAAACCTGGTGGAAAGGAAAAACACCACTAGTTTAGATGTATATCATATAGATAGCTGGTAAGAAATACTCATGGCTAATTTTCATATAGGATTTTAAAACTAAAACCTAAATATAAAAGGTCCGTCATGGAACTGCTAATGTTTTTCTTGGACCCAGGAAAACACAAGCATTTAACTGTATTCAAAAAGAGATGCCCCAGACCTGATGCAGAATCAATCCATGGAGAGGCTTCTCTATGTGTGGACACCTCCAATTACTTTGGAAGATCACACAGACCTGTAATATTTAACCATATGGATTATGTCTGGGATCTGGAGGTCATTTCATAATATCCCCAATAATAAAAGGGTGATGAGTCTTAGAGCATGAGGTCAAAAGGGCTAGAACTTTCTGCTTATAGCTAAGTAACATAAAATCTGTCACCCAAACTCATTTCTTAATCAACCTTTAAGAGGACCAATTCATACTGGTTTTTGGCTATTCACCATGCACCTTACAATTTAGTGAAGAGACCAGGATGATGGGAAAGAACAGTGAAAAATAAGGTAGGACAGATAAAATAGGAATATTCAGGATTATTATTTTTAAATGGCAACAGGATATTTTAGAGTGAGAGACACCAGGCAAGAAAGGAATGAAGACTTAACTTTAGGGGCAACAATAAGAATGAGGAGAATGGGGCAAATTTGAGATTCATTTGGGAAGAAAAGTTAACATATCTTGGTAATAAATTACATAAGTATGTGAAGAAGAAAGCAATCATTTCAGGGCTACCTTTAGCCCTCTATCCAATAGCCTTAATACCATGCTGTCATTGGATGAACACAATCTCAAGGTCAAATTATCCTCTGCATCCTTCCCTAGCCTTGAAAAGGGAAACCAATGAGTTTTACACCTAGATTCTAACCAATTAGAATAACCTACTTACCCATATGTTCCTCATCATTCCATGTTACTACTGTCTGTCTTAGTCACCTTCCCTTCCCTTGTAGCCTGCAAACACCCATTGGGGGCAAGATGCAAGTCTGTCTATTTTATAGAGTATCCTGGTTTTAAAACCACTTTAAAGCTGATGACTCCCAAATCTCACTCAGAATTCCTGAACTATCCCAATATCAGTTTTTTATATCCTGCTTAAGCAAAACAAAATATTTGATTTCCACTCTAAATCTGGTGTTCTCCCTCAGTGCTCCCTATCTCAATAAATGGCACTACCATTTAACCTGTCCATCAAGCCAAAAACCCTTTAAAACTACGTCAGATCATGCCACTGCTCCTCAAAACCCTCAGTGGGTTTTCTATCATACTTGGACAAAAAAAAGTCAAAGCTCTTCCCATGGCTACAGAGATGTCATATCTTAACCACTTTCCTTCTGCTTTCCTCCATTCCATCCACACTTGTCACCTCAGTATTCTGCAGACACCTCCAGCCTACCCCAACACCTCAGGGACTTTACACTTGTTTACCTGAAAAAAAATTTACCCACTCACTAATATCTACTCGATTGTTACCTCCTTAGAGAGGTCTTTTCTGACCACCCTTCCATCACCTCTCTCTTCTCATCCAACATCATTTTATCTCTAAATATATATACATGGGCATTGTATACTGAACTTTCAATTGTCTATCTCCTCCCACTAGTATGTAAGCTCCATGGCAGCAGGGACTTTATTTTGGTCACTTTTCTCCACAGAGCTCTTATCCCCAGGGTCTGACACACAGTAGAAACTCAATAAACATCTGATGAACCTTCTATGTTCATCACAGTTAGTAGACAATTCAACAGACATTGGTTTAATGAATGAGCTCACACAGGCTCACATTGGTGGATAGTGGATCTTTTGCAGTGAAATAGCCACTATGGTGCAATGTGACTTAGAATGGCTATGAGCCTAGCTGAACAGAATGAATCCAGAATTTATTCCAACTGTTTTAAGGGAAATAGCTCATTTATAGTCGACTTTACAAAAAAATCCAAAAGAAATATTTTCTATAATTCTTCTGATGCTATTGACAATCATCCTCTCAAGCTGAAATGTCTTTCCTGAAGAGGCTCAGGCGGAGCACAGGGGGATGCCAAAAAAACTATATAAAGGTGATAAAGAAACAGAAATGTCAAATTTCAACTCCAAGAATGCCCTTGGTTCTAGAGAGGCAAACAGACTAACTGAGAGGGAAAATAACAAAGTAATTTTGCAACCCACTTGCAAATCTAGAGTCTCTAACTAAGGGAAGAGAACTAGAGATGGCCCCCTAGGAGTTTCCATTAGCCACACAGGGGCACAAGATGTTAGTGTACCTGCCTCTCCCTGAATGCCCCAAATCATCAGGAATGTGGAAGGAAAGAAGGAAGTTAATTTGGACTGAGCACCCTCTCGTGGTCTCAAGCCTATGACAGATGCTGCTTATGTGTTGTTCTCATTTAATTAATATCACTCATCCAATTCAGTACTGAACAGGCCAAAAAGTCTTTCTAGCATTCAGGGAAGCATAAGGGATATACACCTCCTGACAGGATATTCTCACCTATTTGGGAAAACTTATTGTTGAATCTATTGATTATCAACAAAGCCCATTCTGCTTTATCCTAATAATATTTGAGTTTTTTCCAACAAGATAACCAAAAACCCCCACAAAATGCTACTGCAAGTCCTCCCCTTTTCTGCTTTTCTACTTCTCTATAGTAAATGTATGTGCACTGGTAAGCACAAAAACATGATATAGTGAATCATTAAGAAAACCAGTTATCACCTGCTTTTAGCCCAGAATTAAAGTGATAGCATAAAATGGAAATAAAACATACCTCAAGTTGATTAATTAAATCCTGGAAAGTTTTCAGTGGCCCCTCTCCTCTGAAATAAAATGAATTATTAAAGAGGCAAGAAAAAGTTACAGCCTGGGAGCTGGCTTTATAATAGTAAAATTTTAAAGGAGCATTTTGTTTATTATAGATCCCAAATTTTGAAGAATAAAATTTAATAGACTAATAATATTGTGACTTTACACTTAAAGCCACTTTAATATACATAATTATTGCTTCATAGGACACTTTACAACATTTCAAGCAATTATTATATATGTTAATTTATAATGTTAAAGAAATTAAAAACATTATGTTGTTTTATTTTTCCTGTTGACATTTTTTCATTTTTCTTCATAAACTAAATATATAAGATTGGCTAAGGTTTTAACCAAAGGCCTTTGTTACACATGGGAAGAGGACCAGACCAAAAGTCAGGAAATTCTCATCTGTAATTCTAACTTTGGAACTCAGATATCCAACTTTATGAGGCACGTCATTTAAGTTTCAATTCTGAGTCTCTAAAAATAATATTTGGGCTACCATTCTCATTGGAAAGTTAGGGAATATTTAGGTGAAATAGGTGGAGATAAAGAGGAGCAAAGTTCCAGTTATAAAATAAATAAGTCATGGGGATGAAAGATACAGCATAGGGAATACAATGATATTGTAATGACTTTGTATGGTGACCGATGGTAACTACACTTACAGTGCACATTTCATAATGTATATAATTGTCATATCACTGTGTTATACACCTGAAAAGAATATAATGTTGTAAGTCAACTATTTGATTAAATTTTTAAATTAAAAAATGATTACAGAATATCAGATTGAAAACTACCAAGAAATATTAAAACCTTTGCAAAGGAAAAGTGAACTGTGACAAAGAGAACAACAGAATGCGCTAAGAGCAGTGGATACAGCATGAATCAAAGTATCTGAAACCTAGTAGCAGCCAGTTCTGCCCCTTAACAGCTATGAGATGTGAAAAAATTATTCCTGTTCTCTAACAAACTGTTGTAAAGATAAAATGAAATGAGGCAGAAACCATTTTAAAAACTATTAAGCACTGGTAATTTTGAAATTGTTTTAAACTATAGGGCACTAGAAAATCTTAAATTTACAAATTATTAAGAAATATGAATTACTATATATAAATTGCTAAGACAACCTTAAAAAGAAATACGAATTATTATATATGTTATTAGGAAATTATATAAATTGTTAAGATAACCTTAAACAATAGCCAGAGGAAAAGCTATAAAATTACCCAGGAAAACTACAAAACTGGGTACTGTGAAGGCTAGCAGATGGGTCTCAGAAAGAAGCTACTAGATGAGGTTGGTAAACCACAGTTTTTAAAGGAAAACAAAAAAATATTGGGGGAAAAACGGGTTTACTGACAGTATAGGTAGAAAACAAAGCCAGCTTGAGATTTTACCATAAGTATATTACCAAGATTTGCAAAAGGGCTTAAGACAGTATCCATGACAGAAAACCCATTTTCTTTTCCTGAACTTCAGCATGCCTGTCCAATAACACATTCTAGTAACAATTCCCATTCCACGGAGCTTTAGTTGTTCCCACTCCTCAGACTGCAGCCCTTCATGCTTCCTAGTCTCCATGGCATGCATGTCATCCCTTAGTAAAATCCACTATTCTGACTCTGAAACAAAAAATGCTGACCATAGCATCCTGGGATATTCTGAAATAAGAAATAAAAGGGACAGTTACAAACTGTTTAAAAAAAATCCTACTGATGAACCCTAGAGAAGATTTTTTATATCAAACTACATACATATCATTAGGTAATAATGTATTGCTCCAGTTTTTAATCAGTCAAAAAGAAATACTTTAAGATCTGCTGATTTTTATCATGGTGAGATAACTAGCATGATTCCAGCCAAAAGTAAAACTCTTTATTATTTCAGTTAATCTGTCCACATTTGCTGTGGGTAAACAAGGAGTTTCATTTTACTTTCTTTTCCATACTTGACGCATCAGAGTTTTAAAAGACAGGAACTAAGAAAAGAGGTAAATCCTCAGAGATGCTTGCTAAAAACAGCTAAGAACAAAGGAAGGAAACCACCAAAGAGGAAAGGTGGGCAACGATGGGATACACAGTAAGGTACTAACAATGACCGTAAACACAGGCAGCTTTACTCAGCTCCTGTCTTCTCCACTTCCCTCCAGGAGAATGACCATCCTGAAAAGGCTAGAAGACATCAAGAGGAAATGCCTGCTTCTTCCCCACTCCTAATCCAATTCCACATGAAGGAATCTTCACTAGTACAACATCCCTCACTTCCCTCGCTTCCTCTCTTATTCCACCCTGTAGAAGAGTGCGGACAGGTATTTATCTTTGCAGTCCTTTTGGTGACCTCGCAAAAATAAATTGGATATGTTACCCCTTTATTTTCTCCTTTTTCTTTACTTCCTTTTGGAGGTAAAATTGCCTTTGGGAGATACCTGCTCTTGCAGGCATTCTAAGAGACATATCCTATCCCTCTAGATTTCTTAATTTGCGAGATCATTTTTAAAAGCCTAACGGCTGTAGATATAAACTACATTATTCAATATCAGCTATATCAGTGTAAGTGTTACAGGTCCACATCTTCCTATTCTTTTGCTTATTTTTTCATTTCGTTCAGAACTTAGGTAGGAAAAAGGGTGCTATTTACTGAGACCCAAGGCCCACATAGTTGTAGGATCCTACCTACTTTAATGAACTTATCACTCTAGACCAAATGGATTACATTCTAGAATACTTAAACTGGTATGTGTGAACCACTCCTGATATCTGCAAAATCAAAACAAGTAACGAAAGGATCCTACATTGGAGATACCAAGTATTTTCCAAGTTTCCAAAAATGAAAAAATTTTCAGAAAATCAATGAAAAATTTAAAGTCATTCTTTGAGAAAATTCTAGAACAGATTACTGAGCAGGTAACTGATGAATGTTTAGCAACATAGAATCATTATACCATGTGTATAGATATTATAATGGAAGATTATGGAATGTGATCAACAGTGACTTCAACAGACCATTTGATCAAGAGTCTTATAATGTGGACATGACAGAGAATGTGTATTATATAATAGTAAAGTTAGGGACATTCTCTGCAACATAATAAATGATGACTCATGGAGAGGTAGCACCCTACTGAGGTGGTAGGCCTTATGGCTCTATTCTTTGACCTGTGTCTAATCACTTGTATCAAGATTTAAAAGGCATGTTTTCTAAGTTTACTAATGCTGGCTGGGAGAGACAGTGATATGTAAAATGATAAAAAGCAAAATGCAAAATTATTTCAAAATTACAAAAAGAATAGAACACAAACCTAGAAGAGTATCCCTTATAAATTTAAATCCTAATTAAATAAATACCTTCTTGTTGCATTCATCCTAAGAACTACTTATAAGTCTTTTTACCATATATTCAAAACTGACTTTAATCCATCAACATGGCACTTTTTTTTTACACCTGATTAAACTGGTTTTAAAAGACCCAAATGTAAGTACAATTTACCTGGTAAATAAATACAGAGAATAGGCCATACTGGACATGTTCCGTCCATACCGAACAATCTCATTCTCCTGATCCTCCCACTTTTTTATCTCGCAGTTGGCATCAGAGGTGAGTAAACCCAGCTTAAGACCAAGCTTTACTATCTTGCCTTGCTCCTATAAGACATACATTTCAATCACACAGCTTTTTCATTACTGATGTGAAAGGTAAGATTAGAAGTAAGACTATCACAAAGGCCTCACCTCAGAATTAGGCTTGTCTGGCTTTAATGATTTCAGGTTTCCATTATTTTTCTGCAACAACAAAAATATTAAGATATTTTTAAAAGCAGTACAGCTTATTGTGAGGGAATACAACAATAACAGAAAGCATAACAAAGTACCTGTAATAAAATTTTAATTTAAGCTCGTTCAGTATGTATTTAAACCATTAAGTTAAAGCAAACAACTAATTGCAAATATTCTACTAGTGTGGAAGCTCAGCTTTGGGCAGTTAGAAATCTGAGGCCAGTGAAAGTAGATCAGTGCCCTAGTAGAATTTAAAAGATTTCTGCAGTATTCTCAAGAGTAGTTGTTATACCCCTAAATCTTCCTAGCCCTTCTGTTGAATTATTCTTATGAAATAATGTAATACAACTAGCCACTAGATGTAGTTTTTCATATGCTCCTAATATTATGTCTCTGAAATTCAGTTCCTTTAGCCAATTTGCCCTTTGAGGGCTAAATTTCAGCACCCTAGTTTCATTGACATCCTGATTCCTAACCCTGTATCTCAGGTTGAACAGATTATATTTAGAATTTGCATTTAATATTTGAACCAACATGTTTGATGGGCCCCTATTTTTGAAACAGCAAGTTTGTTTCTGTGTAAGTTATTTGGACCTCAGAACAGTTCCCCTCGGAAAGGAGAAACCACTGTACACTATTAAAAGTTACCAGGCTAGCCCACAGATGCCTATTTACTTAAAGAACAGAAAGTTTGCTTAACTTATCAATAGCAATGTTTCCTTGAAAAATATATCAGAAGCTCTCAGGAGACAGCAGCCCAGGTTGGGCATTCCTGTCACTCTGACATCTGGTGGGAGCTCCCTTAGTTGGGGCAGGAGTTCCAGAATAGCTGGGGCTAGTGGAGACAGAGCAGCCAGGAAGCACAGGCAGCCTTTTTGTTTTTTAAAAGAAACCTTTATTTAAACTATACATACACATACATACACACCTTGAGTACATGTACACAAAATACAAATATAATATAATAAAACAAAGCTCTCATGTACCTGCTTAGCTTAAGAAGCAGACCATCACCAATACCTTTGAGGTATACGTGCATCTCCTCCTCTTTTGTTTTCCTTATTATTTACCATGACGTGTTATTGACCAGGTATTCTATCCCAAATGTCACTGCAGAACAGAAAAGCCTCAACTTTTCCCTTTTTTCTATCTCACAGGGTTTTTTTGCTCATTTAACTTAGCCTTTTTTGAGATTTTCTAAAGCTGCTTACTATAGAAGAAATAGGAGATGATAACAGAAGGTAAATATAGGGAAACTATAGAGTTACATACACACAAATACATTATGTTCTTATGTTCATTAGAACAGTTCATTATGTTCTATGTTCTTTAGAAAATAAATGGAGATGATCGATGATCTCTCTGACTGGCTTCTACTTGTATAGTCACATCATTTTTATCTTCTTCCTTAGTCTAGTAGACTATAAAGCAATTAATAAATTATTCAAGAAAGTTAAAAATACCCCAAAGGTTTTTAGGTTTTATTTTATTAAGAATTTTACACTTAATCTTACTGTTCTAAATTTAGTTGTGTTTTCTTTATTTTCACTTTTACAAATTGTTATTATTAAAGTGTTTACTGAAGATCCAAAGGGAGCTGCCTGAAAAGGTACAGAAACCATCTTAGCAAATGTTACTAAACCATCTTAGTTTCGTAACCAAGCCTGCCATCTAGTGGACACTGTCTTGGAATGGAATGCAGTCAGATGCATCAGTTACCTTTTCAAATTTGTAATTTGAATTCTTATAAAAACATTCTGAAATATATAAAACTTCTACTTACCATTGATTTTGGAAGTGAAAGGTAGCCATACTTCTCTCCTACAAATAATACACATAATTTAAAACAAATTTTCTATTAGCATATCTTCTATTACTCATTTAACTTTTAAAATATTACTAAGCAAGAATATTAGTGCATCAGTTTTGATATTTAGTCTGTTAATTAACTACACGTTTCAGAAATAAAATTGTAATTTGACCAGTGAATATGAAGACTGTCAAGAGTTGCCTCTCTAAGGCACCTACATTGGACCATCTTTTCCTCCCCAAACATAATGGCAAAAAGGCAAAATATCTCACTGACATTGACTTATATTCACAAGCAGCTTCATTCAGAATGAATTCTCTTCCAGCATCTTGCCCCTAATGAAACCAGCCCCTTCTTTCATCAGGACCAGTTATTAGTGCTTGCTTCCTTTTCTATAAGGACTAGACCAAACCATGTATACCTAGCCTCATAGTGTATTCTCCTAGTCAGGGAAGAGGACAATTCCAGTGTACAACACAGGAATACAAAATAAGGCAAATAACAGTCTCCTGTGTATGACTTAACACACGGCAGGAAGCATGGCAATTAAGGAAAGGAAGGAGGTGTGTAATGACCGCTTCATCTCTGTGCTTTCATCTTTCTAGCTTCAAGATCATGTATAAAGTCAAGTAACAATGGATGACAGAGTTTCTTTAAAGCTAGTTTGTTATACCTGGGGAAAAAATTCGAGATAAGATTTGAATGTTAACCACTTCTTAATTTCAAGGAAAGGAAGTGTGTTCAGCTACGTCAGGTGAAACCATATGAAATCACTGCTATTCAACCACATTTTGTTTTGAAATACAAAACAGCAATTTTACACGGTTCCACTTAATAAAAGTAAATATCATGTAAGACCACTAAATCACTTGCTTTCTTCTAGAGTGACTATTACACAGACAGGGTGAACCTGTTCATAACATATTTAAATTCTCATGTAGAACTGTGCTGTTGAATACAGAATCCATTAGCACATGGGACTCTTGAGCAACTGAAACATGGCCATCTGAAATGAGATGTGCTGCAAATGTAAAATACACATAGGATTTCGAAGACTTAATACAAAGAGAAAAATGTAAAAGATCTCAATAATTTCACAGTACTGATTATAAACTGAAATAATATTTTGGATATACAGAATTAAATTTAAAATATTAAAATGAATTGTACCTATTTCTTTTTTTCTTGTGCCACCTAGAAAATTTTAAATTACATATGTGGCTTGCATTATATTTCTATTGGACATTGCTGACCTACAAGATGAACTACCATTAAGGGTCAGCCATTGGTACTTGGGAATAGCTTTATGATTCAAATCATTTCTTTGTAATGTCAGAAATGTAAGTGAATTTTATTAATGGTTTTCTAATCTCAAAAATTGTGAGAGAAAAATAAACTTAAAAGGGAGAAAAACTTAAATTCCCATGCTGTCTCCTAGCTGTGATGTAAAAAGTGTCTGATTTAGTTGCAAGATTAATAGAAACCAGTCTTCAGATTGCTCAGAACCTCAAAATCCACCATCTATCTTAATTCAAAGTCTGAATCCTGTCCCTAATATCTCTAAAAAGTGCTCTTAATAAGCTATAGAAGAGGGCATAATCATTACTTAGGAATAATCAGCCTGGTGAGGAATCTTGTATTATCTACCCTTATGTTCCTCCATAGTGCCCATGGTCCTGAAATGTTGACATTTACTCTACAAAAGGAAAAAAAGGGAAAAAGCCAACTGTTTCAGTATCTCTTATTTCTCTAAATTAAAACAGAGTTAGAGAAATCAGAAGGTAGGGAGAAGTAAATGCCATGACAAGAGAGTCGTATACCATCTGATTTGCTACCGTTACCACTCACTAATCAAGCACCTGGCAGTTCCAATCCTTTTGACCTCTTATAGGTACTTTGTTTTGCTCTCTATTCCCATCTTTCAGCTGGACTCAGAATAGTTTACAAATTTGAGGATAATTACAAAATTGATCATTCTTTAGACAGTTTTTCTCCAGTGCTATGCAGGTAAGGTTGTCCTTTCTTCCTCCCAATAAATCAAGTAAGTTGATAATAATAGCAAAAAAAAAAAGAAAGAAAAGGAAAGAAAAACCAACTAAGTTGCTAAAAATAACAAATATGTTGAATCTGAATCATTTTATAATTAACTGCATAGTTGTTTTCTCCATAGAAGTCTAATTATTGTCAATGATTCTAAGTAGAGCGAAAACTTACTAATTCAATTATGTTTAGCTATTATATCAAATTAAAGAGGCAGCATGAATAAATAATTTCTATCTCTAATGGAAACATATTATAAACAATAGAAGTAATTGGAAAACCATAAGTATTTGCGAAAAATATAGTTGGTACAGATATTTGCTTTACAGTTATTTTCAAAGCACTGTCTTCATAGGGTATCACAGATCCTTTGTTCAATACTTCCTAAATCTACACCACAATTGTGCCAACTTTACTTGTGAGTTTACACCTCCACATGAACTACGCTCAAAAAGCCCTCATCTTATGGGCGCACCAACATGATTTCTTATGAAAACCTGATAAGTGCTGCTCTCATTTTTCTATATCCACAGCTTTTCTGTATGTCTATAAAATAAAGCTAATTCCCCAAGGACAGAAAACCCTCATTATTTCACTGAAGATATGCTCTATTATTCCCTATAAGAAGTTCTCACAATCAGCTGTTTGGGTTCTGGGAGGAGCTCTGTATGACATGATCAGCAAAAAGTTCATGTCCCTAGACCCACTTGAGTGAATCCCTAACTATGAAGGAGAGACGGATTATTAGCTGACTCAAGAACAGGATTAGGGTATTCTTACCCAAACCCGGTTGTCATCCTAGAACTCTCCCTTCTATCTATATTCAATTAGCCACTAGATCCTACCAATATTACTTGTAAAGTTCTTCTTAAATCAGTGGAGTCTTTCGGATCTGGTCTCTTCCATTACAAAGACCATGGCATCCCTGGAGATTTGGGTAAGAAAGCAGATTGGATAAAAGCAGAAAGGCAGGAAGACAAATATTGATGTTTAACTTCTTCAAATAATCACAAAAGTCCCTATTATGAAATCTGTGTGGCTCAGGGGAAGGGGAAGGGGGGCAATGGCCTAGCTCTCAGACTGAATCAAGTATGAGAACACTAAAGGCTCTTCCTCATGGCTTAGCATGTTGTTTGCTGTTTAACTGGTTGCTGAAATGATACTTGCAAACATATCTGATAATTTTCCCAGGCATGAGAGTCAAAATACGCAGAGCGGAACTAAGGTGACTAGAATACAGCAAAGGTCTTTCAGTAATAGTTACAACAAGAGTTAAAACAGTAGCAACGAGAAGCCAGGATCTGAAGAATACACTCTGTCCTTTTATGAAAACGGTGGGCAGGTGCAAGATAATGGGGAGGCTTGTCATAATAACCGTACAGAACAGGAAGAGCAACACTGCGACCCTGGACTCAGTCCAGTCAATAATAGCTAACCCAGAGTTGGACTTCTTTGTGGAAAAAGCTATTTTTATAAACTCCATGATAAAAGTCAGAACAAAGAAAGGCAGTATAATATCAACCAACTCTACCTCAATTAATCCCATGTAAGGATGCTTTCAGAACAGTGAGATACTTTACCACTTAAACCATGGGTACCCCCCTGAAGCAAGGCAGCAGTTTCCCACCTAAAGAGGAATTTCTGTTCAGCCCTGAGGAAGTTAAGGAAACCCTGATTTTTTAGGGTAAGCTACCTGGACCTGAAGAAAACACTACTTACATTATATTCAGCTTGAAAGTAAAAGAAACCAAAGTGACCAAGTAGTCCGACACAAGGGTAGGATTTTCCTATTTCAACTCTCGTCTGTCTGTAGTGGATGCTAGTGCTATGGAAGACAAGAAGGCCACTTCTCTTCATGTCCTACACAAGTCCTGTGGCTAAATGACCATTCTTCTTTAAGGGTAGATCAATTACATCACTTTACCTTTTAATATATGAAACTTACCTCATATAAAAATCCATATAATTATACATACTTTATCAAAGCATCAGCATGATATGCCATTTAGACTATCACAGAAATCTTTAAACACAAAAGCATTGTAAACATTTATTATACTTTACAAATTATGTAGTATCTACAAAGTCTATTATTTCCTGGTTTTTAAGCAAATCAGCAATTATCCTAAATGGTATTTTTTAAAATATGAAGTGTTTAAATGTTCAATTCAGTAAAAATATGTAATTTGATGTTATTGTGATTTTAAATGACATTTTATTTTTAAAAAAACAAGCATGCTTGACAATAACGGAAGTCATTCAAAAAGAAAAAATATATAAAACACAAACATAAGTAACAGGACACACAGTACAATGGGAAATAAACAAAACTCCCAGTTGACATTAAAATAGAGTAAAAATTATGCCTTCCTGCACATTGTATGGAGCTATTCTATATGTTGTAGAAATACCAATGAACTTACCCCCCACAGGAAATATTCCAAGATTATGTAGTCATCAAGGAAAGAGATTCCCATCCAAGTGGAAGGAAAGCAATTCAGAAATCAAATAACTACATTCATTTCATTATGAAGTTGGTAGAATTTATATCAGAGAATGACTGTATTACAGAAAAGATTTTTCACTAAAACTAAAAAACACTTTAGAAGAGACATAAAATGACTTAATTTCAATGAGAAAACTAGAATATTAATTCAAAGAAATCTATGACACTATTGTACAACAAATTTTACTGCTTAGATACTAAAATAAAGAACAATAATTTTTCTGTGGAAGATATTTTACTATAAAAATAACCCAGTCAGGTTAAAACAAGATGATTCATTTTACATCTGAAGTTTGACATTAAAAAACTAATTGAGTTACATTATAATAATAATATATTTCAATATGTGGACATTGATCTCACCTCTTCTTCCTTCAAAGATATCACTGATTTCTCTGAGCAGTGTTGACATGTCACTAATTTGGGATTCCCAAGCTTCACAAAATACATCTAGGTTTTCTTTAGCAATTTTACTAGACGGATGCAATGTCAATGTTTCAGCAGCAGAAATTATCTAATGAAATAATATACACAGGTGTGAATTTCAATCTTAGCTGTCAGAATCACACTGGAAACCAAGCTCAAGTCTGTACTGTTCAAATCAACTCACTAAACGACTATGAAGTAATTTACACATATAAGCCCCATGTTGGGCAATGTGGAGATACACAGTAGAACAAAACTTACTGTTTCTTATAATCAGATATACAAATAAACAGTATGCATTATTACATACACAACTTTATTCAGGGAACAATCATCTTTATTCAAGGAAAACTGTTTCAACAAAACTATTTCTATAGCATAATTCAGAATTATGCTCAGACTACAAAGAGTACACTGTGCACTGTAGTAGAAGGGATGGTGTAGTATGCTGGTGGCAGTAGTGGTGGTCTCTCTCCCACTTTCACTGTTCTCACCTATATATAAATCCAGGGGTTTGACATCTACCATCCACTATTGCACTCTGGAGTTAAGTCCTTTTTGGTGACCATGATAAATGAAACGAACACCTGGTAAGCTGTATTTTATTATTTAGACCTAAAAAAGAAAGGAAATTCTGTCTCTCGCTTTTTTTCTTATATTAAAATTCCCCAAGGACAGAAAACCCTCATTATTTCACTGAAGATATGCTCTATTATTCCCTATAAGAAGTTCTCACAATCAGCTGTTTGGGTTCTGGGAGGAGCTCTGTATGACATGATCAGCAAAAAGTTCATGTCCCTAGACCCACTTGAGTGAATCCCTAACTATGAAGGAGAGACGGATTATTAGCTGACTCAAGAACAGGATTAGGGTATTCTTACCCAAACCCGGTTGTCATCCTAGAACTCTCCCTTCTATCTATATTCAATTAGCCACTAGATCCTACCAATATTACTTGTAAAGTTCTTCTTAAATCAGTGGAGTCTTTCGGATCTGGTCTCTTCCATTACAAAGACCATGGCATCCCTGGAGATTTGGGTAAGAAAGCAGATTGGATAAAAGCAGAAAGGCAGGAAGACAAATATTGATGTTTAACTTCTTCAAATAATCACAAAAGTCCCTATTATGAAATCTGTGTGGCTCAGGGGAAGGGGAAGGGGGGCAATGGCCTAGCTCTCAGACTGAATCAAGTATGAGAACACTAAAGGCTCTTCCTCATGGCTTAGCATGTTGTTTGCTGTTTAACTGGTTGCTGAAATGATACTTGCAAACATATCTGATAATTTTCCCAGGCATGAGAGTCAAAATACGCAGAGCGGAACTAAGGTGACTAGAATACAGCAAAGGTCTTTCAGTAATAGTTATAACAAGAGTTAAAACAGTAGCAACGAGAAGCCAGGATCTGAAGAATACACTCTGTCCTTTTATGAAAACGGTGGGCAGGTGCAAGATAATGGGGAGGCTTGTCATAATAACCGTACAGAACAGGAAGAGCAACACTGCGACCCTGGACTCAGTCCAGTCAATAATAGCTAACCCAGAGCTGGACTTCTTTGTGGAAAAAGCTATTTTTATAAACTTCATGATAAGAGTCAGAACAAAGAAAGGCAGTATAATATCAACCAACTCTACCTCAATTAATCCCATGTAAGGATGCTTTCAGAACAGTGAGATACTTTACCACTTAAACCATGGGTACCCCCCTGAAGCAAGGCAGCAGTTTCCCACCTAAAGAGGAATTTCTGTTCAGCCCTGAGGAAGTTAAGGAAACCCTGATTTTTTAGGGTAAGCTACCTGGACCTGAAGAAAACACTACTTACATTATATTCAGCTTGAAAGTAAAAGAAACCAAAGTGACCAAGTAGTCCGACACAAGGGTAGGATTTTCCTATTTCAACTCTCGTCTGTCTGTAGTGGATGCTAGTGCTATGGAAGACAAGAAGGCCACTTCTCTTCATGTCCTACACAAGTCCTGTGGCTAAATGACCATTCTTCTTTAAGGGTAGATCAATTACATCACTTTACCTTTTAATATATGAAACTTACCTCACATAAAAATCCATATAATTATACATACTTTATCAAAGCATCAACATGATATGCCATTTAGACTATCACAGAAATCTTTAAACACAAAAGCATTGTAAACATTTATTATACTTTACAAATTATGTAGTATCTACAAAGTCTATATTTCCTGTTTTTTAAGCAAATCAGCAATTATCCTAAATGGTATTTTTTAAAATATGAAGTGTTTAAATGTTCAATTCAGTAAAAATATGTAATTTGATGTTATTGTGATTTTAAATGACATTTTATTTTTAAAAAAACAAGCATGCTTGACAATAACGGAAGTCATTCAAAAAGAAAAAATATATAAAACACAAACATAAGTAACAGGACACACAGTACAATGGGAAATAAACAAAACTCCCAGTTGACATTAAAATAGAGTAAAAATTATGCCTTCCTGCACATTGTATGGAGCTATTCTATATGTTGTAGAAATACCAATGAACTTACCCCCCACAGGAAATATTCCAAGATTATGTAGTTATCAAGGAAAGAGATTCCCATCCAAGTGGAAGGAAAGCAATTCAGAAATCAAATAACTACATTCATTTCATTATGAAGTTGGTAGAATTTATATCAGAGAATGACTGTATTACAGAAAAGATTTTTCACTAAAACTAAAAAACACTTTAGAAGAGACATAAAATGACTTAATTTCAATGAGAAAACTAGAATATTAATTCAAAGAAATCTATGACACTATTGTACAACAAATTTTACTGCTTAGATACTAAAATAAAGAACAATAATTTTTCTGTGGAAGATATTTTACTATAAAAATAACCCAGTCAGGTTAAAACAAGATGATTCATTTTACATCTGAAGTTTGACATTAAAAAACTAATTGAGTTACATTATAATAATAATATATTTCAATATGTGGACATTGATCTCACCTCTTCTTCCTTCAAAGATATCACTGATTTCTCTGAGCAGTGTTGACATGTCACTAATTTGGGATTCCCAAGCTTCACAAAATACATCTAGGTTTTCTTTAGCAATTTTACTAGACGGATGCAATGTCAATGTTTCAGCAGCAGAAATTATCTAATGAAATAATATACACAGGTGTGAATTTCAATCTTAGCTGTCAGAATCACACTGGAAACCAAGCTCAAGTCTGTACTGTTCAAATCAACTCACTAAACGACTATGAAGTAATTTACACATATAAGCCCCATGTTGGGCAATGTGGAGATACACAGTAGAACAAAACTTACTGTTTCTTATAATCAGATATACAAATAAACAGTATGCATTATTACATACACAACTTTATTCAGGGAACAATCATCTTTATTCAAGGAAAACTGTTTCAACAAAACTATTTCTATAGCATAATTCAGAATTATGCTCAGACTACAAAGAGTACACTGTGCACTGTAGTAGAAGGGATGGTGTAGTATGCTGGTGGCAGTAGTGGTGGTCTCTCTCCCACTTTCACTGTTCTCACCTATATATAAATCCAGGGGTTTGACATCTACCATCCACTATTGCACTCTGGAGTAAGTCCTTTTTGGTGACCATGATAAATGAAACGAACACCTGGTAAGCTGTATTTTATTATTTAGACCTAAAAAAGAAAGGAAATTCTGTCTCTCGCTTTTTTTCTTATATTAATTTGATAGGGACAGTATTAAATGAGATACCAATTTCTAAATTGCCTTTGAAAATTATGAAGACAAAGAAATATTGCAGAGAATTCAGAAAAAAATAACACAATTCTCCCAAACAAGCACAAGAATTTTCATTTCTGCATATTCCTATACAGTCATTTTCTTATATATGTACATTTTATTCAGAGCAATTTTAGTATACATACAAATCTGTATTCTACTTTTATCATGTAATACTTTAACAAAACATTCTGCAATGTTGCTAATGATAGCTATCATAATTATTATTTTGAAGTCATAATGTATTATTTGCCTAACTTAAGATGTTTATTTTGCTTCCAACTGAAACTTATCATAAGTAATGTAACAAACATCATTTTAGTTTTTTTTTTTTAATTTCCTTATGTCCTTAGGAATTACTGTGTCAAAATGTGTGAATACTTTTATCATTGGTTACAATAGTGGTAGCTTACTTTTCAAATGTGTTTTAACAACCTGCACTGGAAACAGCTTCATTTAAAATAGATATAAACCAGAGCATCAGTTAAATGGGAAAAGCTCTAGTTTGGCAGATGACCAGGTAGCCCAGTGAAATGTCAGCTATGTTCCGGCACACTACCAATGAATATTCCACTATTGTTTCAGTAGAGTTGGCCTCTACTTATGTAGAACCATTTATAATTTCCTTCCACACAATTTGTTATGACATTCAGACAAGACGTAATATAGAAGGAAAAATCTGCTATTGATCATACCTGTTGGCCAGTCACCTGAAATGTCTCCTCTGCATGGAGACAGGTTATTTCAAGAGGTTCTGTCCCAGATACATGACGCAACAGTCGACAGGTCTATGAGAAAACATTTCTATAGTTCAACTTTCACACTCTCGTTCTTCACAATACATAACTTTATAATTAATAAAGAAAATAAAACTTTACACATAAAATGTATTAAAATTTTAAATCAAACCTTATTTATTCAAAAAGTTGTACATTACTAAGCAGATTATTACACTACTACATTGGAGACCAACAGATTTTCTAGGAATAAATAAGGCTGTAGCGTATTACTGCTTCCTATCTGATGACAGCAAAGTGGTCACAGTATTTTAGAATGAGGAGGAGTCTTTGAGAGGATCTCATAGCGCCCACACATTTTATGTTTGAAGAAACAGCTCAGAGAAGTTGCCCAAGGTCTCTCAGCTAACCCTATGTCACAGTACTACAAGCTACACATTTTTCCTATCAACAAACAACAATTTCTCTCGTGGTCAATTAATTAACACATCTTTCACTGGAGATAACACTTGATTAGGCAAGATTGAGGTAGTAAGTAGAGATCCTATACCAGAGAAAATTATTGAAAATCTTGAGGCTTAAAACACAAAATTAGACAAAAAAATTTCACTTTTAAAAAAGACTTACTACAGGATTCTTATAATTAGCAAGTTTGTTTATCATCATAATATTTGGTTTATAAGCAGAATAGTAGGGGTGGGAGCAGTCGGGGGTGGCCTAGGGGAATTGAGTGAAGGTGGTCAAAAGGTTCAAATCTCCAGTAATAAGACAAGTTCTGGGGATGTAATGTGTAAGATAACCACAGTTAGCAGTACTGTTTTTTTAATCTGGAAGTTGCTAAGAGCATAGATCTTAAAAGTTCTTATTAGAAGGGAAAAAAATTTCTGTATGTGAGGTAATGGATATTAACTAAACTTAAGGTAATGATTATGGTGATATGCATCTCACTATATATATATATCGAATCATTATGTTGTATACCTTAAACATATACAATGTTAAATGTCAATTATATTTTTAAAAAATACATAAGCATCAAATCTACTTTAAAATGGAGTTATATCTATAGTCATTTAAGAATGATTACTAGCAAACAAATCCTACCATTTGCAACAACATGAATGGAGCTAGGGGCTATTATGCTCAGTTAAATAAGCCAGGCAGAGAAAGTCAAGTACCAAATGATTATACTCATTTGTGGAGTATAACAACAAAGCAAAACTGAAGGAACAAAACAGCTGCAGACTCACAGACTCCAAGAAGGGACTAGTGGTTAGGAAAGGGGAGGGGTTGGGGATGGTGGGGAGGGAAGGAGGGAGGGAGGGAGAAGGGGATTAAGGGGCACTACGATTAGCAACCACAATATAGCTAGGTCATGGGGAAGGCAGTACAGTATGGAGAAGACAGGTAATGACTTTATAGCATCTTACTACGCTGATGGACAGTGACTGCAATGGGGTTGTGGGGAGGACTTGATAATATGGGTCAGTGTTGAAACCACAATGTTGCTCATGCACAACCTTCATAAGATTGTATATCAATGATACCTTAATTAAAAAAGGAATACTCACTAGCAGTTTTCTGATATAAAGGAGTAGAGAGGAGGAAACTAGTAGAATTAATTAGTCTAAAGTTTCCCTCTAACCGCTGGTCTTTTAGATTTGGAGAGCAGATTATATTAGATAACATGAAGACAGCCAAATAGTTCAGATCTGCACACTCATATACATGTTGGGCATACCTTGTATGTACAAGGTACACATGAGTTCAGTATATACAGTATTTACTAGCAGATATCTGACATTTTCAATAGGTAGAAGGTTTAGAATAGCAAGCAACTAATAAGTAGAATTATAACAAGTGGCAGGTGAAGCACAAGTATCACATAACAGAGATTTCGGCAAAAAGAGAAGGGTTCAAGAAGAAATACTATGCTGAGTGTCTTCTCTTTGTCCCCCCAGATCCACTCTCCTTCCTTCTCAAGCCTGCTTTTTGCCTGGGAGGCTGACCTGTGTGGTCTACAGCTGTTTGGCCAATGGGAGCCCCAGCAGTAGACCCGCAGGGATGAAGAGAGTAAAGGCCTCTATTCTGGTGCTCTTTCCCTGCAGGGTCGCATTGGAGTGTCTCTGTGTCTAATCCTGAAATCCCAGTCTCTCAAGGCAGCTCTCTGAGAGCCTCTATGTTCTTCCAGTTTCTAGTAGCCACTCCCTCCCCCCACTTACTCTGCACCTAGGAGTGGTACCAGCTCTGCTGTCACTGATCCCAGTTACTCCCCTGGTTTTCCCCGCACACTGTCTATGCTACTGTAAGTAGCGTCTTTACTAAACCCTCTTTAAATTATCCTAATGTGAGTGTGCCATCTCTTTCCTGCAGAGAAACCACTGATTTAAAGAGAAACAGGTCATATCTCCTTTGCTCAACTCCAAGGTCTAATCTCTCTGAGAGAATAGGGACTAGAAGATTAAGAGCATTTGTGGATGCCAGCACTTTTTGTTTTTGTTTTAGAGGCCAGAGTGTTGTAAGAATGAAACAGATAAACATATCTTTAAAATTCCAAAGGTGAGGGAGAAAAAGCTCACTTAAGTTAACCAAAAACTGTATTTGTGTTATTATTCCCTGATGATAGCATATCTATCATGAAACCACAATTTTTTAACAAGCAAACCTACTACTCACCTCAACGAGCTGCTCTTTCTGTTGAGAGAGTTTACAGGAATGTTCAGCCAAACCTTCTAAATTTCCTTCTACCCCAGTAAGTTTTAATGCTTTGAGAACCACATGATCAGCATGGTATTTTAACAGATCTGCTGCCAGCTGAGTTGCTGTATTATGAAGCTACACATGTGGGGGAGTCAAAGGAATAAAAAAAAGACAACAAACAATAAGGTTTTGTGACCAAGCTCCCCAACAGCACTTTAAAAACTAAAGAGTAGCAAACTCAAGGCAGTCCCACTTTATCCACTGCGGGGAAAGCGTGAAGCTCCCCGTGGTAACAGTAGTGGGGAAGCACTGGGAAGCTTTCAGGTCTCCCCGAGGGCAGCAGGGAGATCCACGACACCTGTGAGTCCCCTGGTACTGGCAGGGTGGCAGGGATGCCATCTGTAGAATAAGAACTGATCATTGAGTGGAGAGTAGTGCCCCTTTTGATTCCTACATATCAACCTGTTCTTTCCCACACAGCTTCTCTCTTACTCAAAAACTGCTTCTGCTACTCCTAAAGTTAGTGAGGAAAACAGCAGTATTAAGAGTATGGTATTCAGGATACTAAGAGGAAAAGCAAACAGCAGTTCACAATCATTACTAAGTTCATTAACAGACTTTTGAAAAAGCATCGATGTGAAATTCAATCATTGAGGTATTCCGCAAAACTTTATTAAATACTTACATGATGGCAGGCACTATACTAGAAGCTAGACATACATGAAAAGGACGACACAACCCCTTCCCTCAGGGGGTTACAGTCTGTGCTACAGCTGCTATCCAGAACTTTATTCTCCAACTCTTGGATCACAGGAGAAAAAAATCAATAAAATGGTAACAAAAGCCCCAAGGTTTTATTTGACTTTGGGTAGAATGGATTTTAAACATAGCACATTCTCACTGGATATCTTTGGGTACTATTAGTTATAAAATCTTTTCCTTACCCTGATTTAAAAAAATGAGACAGGTTATTTTGGGGTTCTCCAGAAAAAGATCATTTTTAATAATACTCTACTATGGAAAATCTGACTTTGAATTAAGCCTATTTGAATAAGTAGTTTTTTTTATCCTGGAAGTAATCCAATGTCAATTCAACTTACAGGACTTTCTACAAAACTAACAATAGAGTACTCTGCATTCATGTAATCAAGTGAGAATAACTACACTCAGAAACAAAGACATTAAAATGCACTTTCCTTTGGAAACTAAATGCCATGTAAGAATTTTAAAAGATTTTGTTTAACCAGCTGGGCTTTAAAGAATATCTAAGGCCAGCTTTTTATTTTAGACTATGAAACAGGTCCTCAGAGACTGGGTGACTTGCCCAAGATCACGTAAATTTTTAAATGGCTCTGGAGTCAACTTATTAACAACCCTACTGGAAGAAGTGTGAATAAACATGAAGTTCCTGCTTTATGCAATGTACTGACAGAGGCTTAATAGGCATTATTTCCCTTAATCTTCAAAAAAATTCTCCTAAATTAATACTGTTATACCCATTTCAGAGGTAAGGAAAATGAAGCTTGTGGAAAACCACTCAATTTACCACCAAAGGATTTTAGGCTTTTACTGATAGTCATGTTTTGACAATAATTAATGTAAAATTGAATAGGCTGTAAAAAATGGGCAGGCTTTTTTAAGCCACAGAAAAGCAAATCTTTTTATGTTTAACAGGATGTTAAAATGAAGGTCAGTATCAAGTTAGAGGTGAAACAAACCATCATTTATATAATTCATAAAAGAAACATCCAAAAACCAATTTAATTCTCTTGAGTCCTTGAAACACTTCAAAAATATAAAAGAATAAAGAAATTAGAGATAAGGGAGAAGAGAGGTTTTGTGAGGAGGATCTTTTTGGGGAGCTGATGGGTGCTGTGAGTCCACCTCCAGGTATACCCCAAAGTGGAGGAAGCAAGGTGATGTGGGACTGCAATACAGGGGTGGAGGGGACAACAGAACTTCTGAAGAACACTCTCAAGTGTCCACGAGAGAGAAAGAGCAGCTATAAACATCCACTGGGCCCAAAGCTCAGGGCACCAGTCACTAAGGACTTTCCACCCCCCTACCTCCCTTCCTGCCCTGTGCCACACCTGGCAAAGATCAGGAACAGAAGCTAGATAATGGGGGAGGAAGGGCATGAAAAAGAGATCTGAGGCTCCACCTTCCTCTAAAGTCCTAAGAGGGGCTAGGGGAATGGAGAGCAAAGGAGAAGCCCCACAACTGAATGAAGATAGGGAGACTGATTAGTATATTGGAGTGAATATTCTCATTTTTGAAGCAAGATTGTGTTTTATGATCTAAAGCAAGGATTGGCAAAGTTACTCTGTAAAAGGCCAGACAGTAAATATTTTAGGCTTTTCAGGCCACACAATCTCTATTGCAACTACCCAATTCTGCCATTGTGATGAAAAACAGCAGACAACGTATAAGTAAATGGGCAGAGATATGTCTCCAGAAACTGTATTTACAAAAACACACAGCCTGGTCATAATTTGCAAACCTCTGACTTTAGATGACTTTCAATTACCTGAGAGTAACCAAATCAATCATGGGATGACCAAGTTTTCATTCACTGAACAGGCAACCTTCTCAATCAAAATAATATTGTTAAAAATCAACCTTATCGAGGTTATAGTATATATATATATATAACAAAACGTACCAAAGGAACAGTTTGATAAGTTTTGACAAACATTTACACCTACAAAACTACCACCACAATCAATGTTTACAACATTTCTATTACCCCAAAAAGTTCTCCCATTCCCCTGTGTGGTAAATATTCCCAAACTTTTGACCCCAGTCAGCCTTTGATCTGGTTTCTATTACTATAAATTAGTTTTGCCTTTTCTAGAATTTCTTCTAAATGAAATTATACACACATACGCACACACACGCATACACTCTTTTGTGTCTCACTTTTCACTCAGAGTAACATTTTAGTGATTCGTCCATAGTATTACGTGTCAATTCTGTTCCTTTTATTGCTGAACAGTATTTGCTATAATTATACCAAAATTCATTTATCAATTCCCATTCATGGAAATTTAGATTATTTCCAGTTTTTTGTCCATTATAAATAAAGCTTCTATGAACATTTGTGTACAAGCTTTGAGAATGATGATACTAATAAGCCAGTGGCTTCAAAGTAAAGGTCAAAGGAAAACTTTTAAAAACATTTTCTGGGCATGTGGACATACTAATACTAATGCATTTTATACATACCATACAACATGAAAATTAGCAAAGAATTAAAAGAGGTTATATTTCAAACTATACTTACTTCTTTCTTAAGTTCATTGAGGCTGTGACTGATTTTCAATATAGTGAGTTCCAGTTCCTCAGCGACACTTTTTGTTTTCCTGCTTTGCTAAAAATTTTAAAAAGTATATATGTAGTGTTTACCTTGTCTTTTTTATCTGATAATTCCAATTTTACTTCAACTGTAAGTTATAATAAAATTTTAATATTATTCTGTGAATTATAAAAGAAGATTTTTAAAATTCACCTGTTCATGGTTAATTTGGAATTGGAAAACAGAATTTTAGTTTGTTATATTTTCCCACTCTAAGTATAAACACACCAATTTTTAAAACATAATTTTTAAAATAAATTTATCACATCTAAAACCAATCTGTTATCTTCTGCCCAGAATGCTCTTCACTCTTAGCCTTAGTTAAAAATTAAAGTGCTAGTCATCTTCAATGCCTACATAAACGTCCTCAGAAAGGCCTTCTCAGATCACTCAATCTAAATTAGACCCCTTCCTACCCACTCTAATCTTGTTTCTAAGTAATCATCCTAGTTTACAATTGTATATTTACATTTGTTAGTTTCTTTTGTTCAAAGCCTATCTCCCTCACTAGGCCATGGTAAGCTCCATAAAGGATGGGATCACATTTATTTTGCTCACCTCTGAATTCATAATACCTGGCACAGCAAATGGAAGGTAGTAGGTATTGAGTTCTTTGGATAAATAAATCAAAGTTAATGTGAGTATCTTCATGAAGCTTTCTTGATTGCTCTAAATACAAATTCACTCTCCTTCAAGTCCTCTCAACACATGGTCTGTACCTTCTCTTATGACACTTACAAAGCTTTTTGTACTTGTCTCACCCCTTCCCACATTTTTCTACACTGCAAATTCCTGCAGACAAATATTTTATCATATTCATCTTTAGATTTCTGCTACCTGGCATATAAAAGGCAGTCAGTAACAACTGGTGGGGGAAAAAAAAGAATAAATGATCAATACAAGTGGCATGCAGAATCAGAGACTGAGTGCTTGTGAAAAATGGAAAAAGTGCTAATTGTAAATGTAAGTATTGATACACTCAGATTCCCAACACAGAGAGCATTTCCTCACAGAAACTCGTCATACTGAATGTTGGGTTTAAAATGTAACACTGAATCAACCTATACTTAAGATTCAATATCACATAAACAATTCAAACTAAACACAAAATACAGCTTTTATCCCTGGCACCACTCTACTCTATGTGAAGTCATTAAATTACCCTGTTAATATGAGCATTTGCAATGTTGTGCTGTCAAGGGGAGAATGTGAAGAGAATCTGATTTCTATCTCTTCTTCTTTCATGATCAATCTCTTTACAAGGAAGTAAACGCTGCCTTGTTCAGTACACTCGCAGCCACATTCACCCTTCATCTTTACTGCCAAAGCTTTTGTTCATGACTTCATGTTTGTTCTATCCATGTTGTATGTTGTGAACCATGTTAAATACTTTGTTGACATACCCTAGGTCTAAGGAATAATAAATGGTGCCAGAGACATGCCTCAGACCTCTATCTTTCCATTCTGTAATCCGCCCTCTAGAAGTGACTGGGTACAAACTTCCTGCACTGTCCACTTCTGTCAGTCTTTACCATCCTTGCCTAAATAAACTCCAATGTGTTAAGCACAGGACAGTCTATACAAGGCCGTTAGTTGGCTGCTCAACAATCTTAGACCAGGAATTTGTGCAGGGGTGAAAAATCTTTTGCCATCCAGGTGAAACTACCTTGTTTTCACTGCATCTAGACCTCAATAAATTTTTTAAATCAGCTGTCCTCAGAGTTAAGAACTGTGTACATCTGAATGGCTCTGGAAGTACGACTCAGATCCCAAGAACATCTAGGTGGGGGGTCTGTTCCTCTGCTCTTCACTCTGAAGAAGCATTCTGAGGAAGAATTGTTCAGAGGTGAGTTTGGTGGAAGAATGGGGACAACAGAATAAACTAGTGATGGTGACGGTAGCACAGAATCTAGACTGGCCAGGATGAAAACAACAGGCCTAGAAATGTCAAGTACAGAGAGTGCTGGATGGGAGGGATACTCTGGCCAGGCAGGAGGGAGAAAAGGAAAGAGACTTCTTTGTTCCATTTTGGACCACAATTCTCAGAACCTTAAGGAAAAGCTATATATTATATAAGATTTACTTTGATGAAAAAAAGTTCTTACAGCTTGAATCCACACAGAAATTAACTGCTGCACTTCCATTCTCGCCTGGGCTGACAGGTCCAAGATGCGCTCCCTGTGCTCATGGCTGGTGTAGGCAGAATCAGTGAAGTCCTCTGTACGCTCCAAGATGGCGGCCAGTGGTGCAGAAAGATTCTCTTTTGACTGAAAATAAAGATTGTCCTGAAGAGTTTCAATATTCATCTGAGAACAAAAAGGATATACATATATGAGTCAATATTCTCACCTAACCAAATGGGTTAAAATTTCTAATGGTGTCCAGGAAGATGCTAGCAATTTCTTTCCCTGCTTAAGGGCTCAGATAGAAATACAGCCTCCAGTGATGACCACCTTCTCCGCTAACCCAGTAGGATACATTGCTCAAGAGTCACACTAGTGGCCATTCAGAGATTCATCCAATAGCTGTTAATATAATATGCCTATGAGATCAGCAAAACAAAGGCAGAAAGAATTATCATGTAGCAATCCATAGGAAAATGAACCAGCCTCTGGGTACAGGATTTACATCTGAAAAAATGCCACATCAAAGTCCTAATTACTAAGTTCATTAACAGACTTTTGAAAAAGCATCGATGTGAAATTCAATCATTGAGGTATTCCGCAAAACTTTATTAAATACTTACATGATGGCAGGCACTATACTAGAAGCTAGACATACATGAAAAGGACGACACAACCCCTTCCCTCAGGGGGTTACAGTCTGTGCTACAGCTGCTATCCAGAACTTTATTCTCCAACTCTTGGATCACAGGAGAAAAAAATCAATAAAATGGTAACAAAAGCCCCAAGGTTTTATTTGACTTTGGGTAGAATGGATTTTAAACATAGCACATTCTCACTGGATATCTTTGGGTACTATTAGTTATAAAATCTTTTCCTTACCCTGATTAAAAAAAATGAGACAGGTTATTTTGGGGTTCTCCAGAAAAAGATCATTTTTAATAATACTCTACTATGGAAAATCTGACTTTGAATTAAGCCTATTTGAATAAGTAGTTTTTTTTATCCTGGAAGTAATCCAATGTCAATTCAACTTACAGGACTTTCTACAAAACTAACAATAGAGTACTCTGCATTCATGTAATCAAGTGAGAATAACTACACTCAGAAACAAAGACATTAAAATGCACTTTCCTTTGGAAACTAAATGCCATGTAAGAATTTTAAAAGATTTTGTTTAACCAGCTGGGCTTTAAAGAATATCTAAGGCCAGCTTTTTATTTTAGACTATGAAACAGGTCCTCAGAGACTGGGTGACTTGCCCAAGATCACGTAAATTTTTAAATGGCTCTGGAGTCAACTTATTAACAACCCTACTGGAAGAAGTGTGAATAAACATGAAGTTCCTGCTTTATGCAATGTACTGACAGAGGCTTAATAGGCATTATTTCCCTTAATCTTCAAAAAAATTCTCCTAAATTAATACTGTTATACCCATTTCAGAGGTAAGGAAAATGAAGCTTGTGGAAAACCACTCAATTTACCACCAAAGGATTTTAGGCTTTTACTGATAGTCATGTTTTGACAATAATTAATGTAAAATTGAATAGGCTGTAAAAAATGGGCAGGCTTTTTTAAGCCACAGAAAAGCAAATCTTTTTATGTTTAACAGGATGTTAAAATGAAGGTCAGTATCAAGTTAGAGGTGAAACAAACCATCATTTATATAATTCATAAAAGAAACATCCAAAAACCAATTTAATTCTCTTGAGTCCTTGAAACACTTCAAAAATATAAAAGAATAAAGAAATTAGAGATAAGGGAGAAGAGAGGTTTTGTGAGGAGGATCTTTTTGGGGAGCTGATGGGTGCTGTGAGTCCACCTCCAGGTATACCCCAAAGTGGAGGAAGCAAGGTGATGTGGGACTGCAATACAGGGGTGGAGGGGACAACAGAACTTCTGAAGAACACTCTCAAGTGTCCACGAGAGAGAAAGAGCAGCTATAAACATCCACTGGGCCCAAAGCTCAGGGCACCAGTCACTAAGGACTTTCCACCCCCCTACCTCCCTTCCTGCCCTGTGCCACACCTGGCAAAGATCAGGAACAGAAGCTAGATAATGGGGGAGGAAGGGCATGAAAAAGAGATCTGAGGCTCCACCTTCCTCTAAAGCCCTAAGAGGGGCTAGGGGAATGGAGAGCAAAGGAGAAGCCCCACAACTGAATGAAGATAGGGAGACTGATTAGTATATTGGAGTGAATATTCTCATTTTTGAAGCAAGATTGTGTTTTATGATCTAAAGCAAGGATTGGCAAAGTTACTCTGTAAAAGGCCAGACAGTAAATATTTTAGGCTTTTCAGGCCACACAATCTCTATTGCAACTACCCAATTCTGCCATTGTGATGAAAAACAGCAGACAACGTATAAGTAAATGGGCAGAGATATGTCTCCAGAAACTGTATTTACAAAAACACACAGCCTGGTCATAATTTGCAAACCTCTGACTTTAGATGACTTTCAATTACCTGAGAGTAACCAAATCAATCATGGGATGACCAAGTTTTCATTCACTGAACAGGCAACCTTCTCAATCAAAATAATATTGTTAAAAATCAACTTTATCGAGGTTATAGTATATATATATATAACAAAACGTACCAAAGGAACAGTTTGATAAGTTTTGACAAACATTTACACCTACAAAACTACCACCACAATCAATGTTTACAACATTTCTATTACCCCAAAAAGTTCTCCCATTCCCCTGTGTGGTAAATATTCCCAAACTTTTGACCCCAGTCAGCCTTTGATCTGGTTTCTATTACTATAAATTAGTTTTGCCTTTTCTAGAATTTCTTCTAAATGAAATTATACACACATACGCACACACACGCATACACTCTTTTGTGTCTCACTTTTCACTCAGAGTAACATTTTAGTGATTCGTCCATAGTATTACGTGTCAATTCTGTTCCTTTTATTGCTGAACAGTATTTGCTATAATTATACCAAAATTCATTTATCAATTCCCATTCATGGAAATTTAGATTATTTCCAGTTTTTTGTCCATTATAAATAAAGCTTCTATGAACATTTGTGTACAAGCTTTGAGAATGATGATACTAATAAGCCAGTGGCTTCAAAGTAAAGGTCAAAGGAAAACTTTTAAAAACATTTTCTGGGCATGTGGACATACTAATACTAATGCATTTTATACATACCATACAACATGAAAATTAGCAAAGAATTAAAAGAGGTTATATTTCAAACTATACTTACTTCTTTCTTAAGTTCATTGAGGCTGTGACTGATTTTCAATATAGTGAGTTCCAGTTCCTCAGCGACACTTTTTGTTTTCCTGCTTTGCTAAAAATTTTAAAAAGTATATATGTAGTGTTTACCTTGTCTTTTTTATCTGATAATTCCAATTTTACTTCAACTGTAAGTTATAATAAAATTTTAATATTATTCTGTGAATTATAAAAGAAGATTTTTAAAATTCACCTGTTCATGGTTAATTTGGAATTGGAAAACAGAATTTTAGTTTGTTATATTTTCCCACTCTAAGTATAAACACACCAACTTTTAAAACATAATTTTTAAAATAAATTTATCACATCTAAAACCAATCTGTTATCTTCTGCCCAGAATGCTCTTCACTCTTAGCCTTAGTTAAAAATTAAAGTGCTAGTCATCTTCAATGCCTACATAAACGTCCTCAGAAAGGCCTTCTCAGATCACTCAATCTAAATTAGACCCCTTCCTACCCACTCTAATCTTGTTTCTAAGTAATCATCCTAGTTTACAATTGTATATTTACATTTGTTAGTTTCTTTTGTTCAAAGCCTATCTCCCTCACTAGGCCATGGTAAGCTCCATAAAGGATGGGATCACATTTATTTTGCTCACCTCTGAATTCATAATACCTGGCACAGCAAATGGAAGGTAGTAGGTATTGAGTTCTTTGGATAAATAAATCAAAGTTAATGTGAGTATCTTCACGAAGCTTTCTTGATTGCTCTAAATACAAATTCACTCTCCTTCAAGTCCTCTCAACACATGGTCTGTACCTTCTCTTATGACACTTACAAAGCTTTTTGTACTTGTCTCACCCCTTCCCACATTTTTCTACACTGCAAATTCCTGCAGACAAATATTTTATCATATTCATCTTTAGATTTCTGCTACCTGGCATATAAAAGGCAGTCAGTAACAACTGGTGGGGGAAAAAAAAGAATAAATGATCAATACAAGTGGCATGCAGAATCAGAGACTGAGTGCTTGTGAAAAATGGAAAAAGTGCTAATTGTAAATGTAAGTATTGATACACTCAGATTCCCAACACAGAGAGCATTTCCTCACAGAAACTCGTCATACTGAATGTTGGGTTTAAAATGTAACACTGAATCAACCTATACTTAAGATTCAATATCACATAAACAATTCAAACTAAACACAAAATACAGCTTTTATCCCTGGCACCACTCTACTCTATGTGAAGTCATTAAATTACCCTGTTAATATGAGCATTTGCAATGTTGTGCTGTCAAGGGGAGAATGTGAAGAGAATCTGATTTCTATCTCTTCTTCTTTCATGATCAATCTCTTTACAAGGAAGTAAACGCTGCCTTGTTCAGTACACTCGCAGCCACATTCACCCTTCATCTTTACTGCCAAAGCTTTTGTTCATGACTTCATGTTTGTTCTATCCATGTTGTATGTTGTGAACCATGTTAAATACTTTGTTGACATACCCTAGGTCTAAGGAATAATAAATGGTGCCAGAGACATGCCTCAGACCTCTATCTTTCCATTCTGTAATCTGCCCTCTAGAAGTGACTGGGTACAAACTTCCTGCACTGTCCACTTCTGTCAGTCTTTACCATCCTTGCCTAAATAAACTCCAATGTGTTAAGCACAGGACAGTCTATACAAGGCCGTTAGTTGGCTGCTCAACAATCTTAGACCAGGAATTTGTGCAGGGGTGAAAAATCTTTTGCCATCCAGGTGAAACTACCTTGTTTTCACTGCATCTAGACCTCAATAAATTTTTTAAATCAGCTGTCCTCAGAGTTAAGAACTGTGTACATCTGAATGGCTCTGGAAGTAAGACTCAGATCCCAAGAACATCTAGGTGGGGGTCTGTTCCTCTGCTCTTCACTCTGAAGAAGCATTCTGAGGAAGAATTGTTCAGAGGTGAGTTTGGTGGAAGAATGGGGACAACAGAATAAACTAGTGATGGTGACGGTAGCACAGAATCTAGACTGGCCAGGATGAAAACAACAGGCCTAGAAATGTCAAGTACAGAGAGTGCTGGATGGGAGGGATACTCTGGCCAGGCAGGAGGGAGAAAAGGAAAGAGACTTCTTTGTTCCATTTTGGACCACAATTCTCAGAACCTTAAGGAAAAGCTATATATTATATAAGATTTACTTTGATGAAAAAAAGTTCTTACAGCTTGAATCCACACAGAAATTAACTGCTGCACTTCCATTCTCGCCTGGGCTGACAGGTCCAAGATGCGCTCCCTGTGCTCATGGCTGGTGTAGGCAGAATCAGTGAAGTCCTCTGTACGCTCCAAGATGGCGGCCAGTGGTGCAGAAAGATTCTCTTTTGACTGAAAATAAAGATTGTCCTGAAGAGTTTCAATATTCATCTGAGAACAAAAAGGATATACATATATGAGTCAATATTCTCACCTAACCAAATGGGTTAAAATTTCTAATGGTGTCCAGGAAGATGCTAGCAATTTCTTTCCCTGCTTAAGGGCTCAGATAGAAATACAGCCTCCAGTGATGACCACCTTCTCCGCTAACCCAGTAGGATACATTGCTCAAGAGTCACTAGTGGCCATTCAGAGATTCATCCAATAGCTGTTAATATAATATGCCTATGAGATCAGCAAAACAAAGGCAGAAAGAATTATCATGTAGCAATCCATAGGAAAATGAACCAGCCTCTGGGTACAGGATTTACATCTGAAAAAATGCCACATCAAAGTCCTGGAAGATGTTATTTCCAAATATGAAGGTGTTGAGCCCAGGAGGAAGGGTGTGGAGGCTGAGGGGTATAAGAAGGACTGGAAAGACAGCAGTTTTTTGCCTCATTAATTCAGCAAAACTCTCCCCAACAGTACCTCTCTGACCTAAACATTCCCCAGGGAATGTTTAATCTTTCTGAAATGTAAGGCTTCTGATCTTACCACCTCCCTCTAATTGGCTCCTCACACTTATAAAATTAATCCAAAACTTCTATTGCATAGTAACAAAGTCCTCTAGGGACTTTTTATGTTTCATACTAAATCTATCTCATCCTCCAAGTTCCCAAACAACCTTTCTCTTCACTCATCCTGTGCTTAGAGTTCCCCGATGTGTAACGGACACATGTTCATTGAAGCAATCTTTCTCCTCTCAGCTTTCCAAATTACACTGAACCACTTCAACCATGTTTGACCTCTAGTCCATGAAACCCATCACAGAAACGACTTGGACCAGGAGGCAGTACATGGTGATGATCATGATCGCAGTCACAGTGAGTATGCTGATAAGGATAGCTTAAGCTGGATTAGCACTTTAAAGTCCTTTCAAAAATATTATTTTAAGTTAATCCTTACTTATAACCCATTTTAACATGACCCAGATTTGGCAAGGTCAAGAGGCCATAGGGGAGTGCTCGCATCCCCTTCTCCTCTTGGCCCAGGTTGTTTCCAATAATCACCCATCCTAGGTTGACAAGACTTTTTTTAAGCTTAGAAAGAACATGGATAAAAGTGAGGTACAGAACTGACTATGAGGATCTGAGACTTTGAGAATTTAAACAGAATTACAACCTAAAAATCAATCATGTTGACCACATACCATTTATGTTAAGGTTTTTTATTTTCCTTCTTGAAAGAACATACATCTATTTTTGAACAGCAACTTAGTAAACATTCTTTGTTTGCTTTTTTTTGAAGTCTATTCATTTATATGGTTTCATAAGATTGCCCACATATTCACAGTACCAAATGCAGTAAAGTCTCCAGTTTCTCTCTATAGATTAGACTCTTCATCAGAAAGAAGCTGAGACGCCAAAAGGATAGCCCCTGACAGTGAGACTGAACCTGTCCCCAACAGCTCCGCCTCCGAGGGCCTGGGGGGGAAAGGCGTGGCAGCTGGCACAGTCGGCAGTGGCCACAGATGCTGCAGTGACTCGAGCAGGCCTGCAACCAGACATGCAGTGTCAAGAGGCGAAGACCCGGCGCTCTAACCCTACCTGTTTCCCTAATTATCCTTTGACCCTTGACAAGACATCCGGCACCTAGCCTTTCTTATCAGAGGGGATTAGACAAAAATCTCTGGGATCCCTTTCAGCAGGAAAAACTCCAAGAGAATGACTGGTCCTTGTAGCTTCTTTCCCTCAGGGAGAGATTTCAGGTCAGGCTGGCAGCGGATAAACAATCCGAGAGCTATAAACTGAAAGGTCATGGACTTTGGGATTAGAGTGTCGTGGTTCTAAAGAAGGGTTCCACTACTTATTAGCTTTCTTCCTCAGAAACATGGGTCTAATAATACCCACTCATAAAGGAAGTTAGAGGTTAAATGAGATACTTATTAAGAGAATGGCTCCCAAAATAACTGTCCTTTCCATTACTTTACTTCACCTCATATTCCTACTTAGACCTCCACAGAACTGAAGTCAAAGTGCAATAAGATGGAAAGAATGCCACCCTTGTCACAGCCCTGCCTTTTAGAGGGATGGTAACCCTCAGCATACTCAATAACCTCTGAGGGCCCCAGTGTTCTCATCTGTGAAATGAGGGGCTTACACTATGTGAGTTCCTAGAGCCCTCCTCAGACACCGCTAGCACCCAAAAAGCAGCTTCACCATCTCTCTGATGCCTGATGAGAAGCTCTGCCTGAAACGGTGGAGGTGCCGAGTTAGACTGCCCAGTTTCAAATCCAAACTGCGGCACTTCCTCCCTGGCAAGTTACTTCATCTCTGTTTCTCAGACTCCTGACAGTGTGATAACAATAGTTCGTGTGAGGATTATACATATACATACATTTAAGGCACTCAGGACAGGGCTCAGACAGGGGGCACAGAGGCAGTGTTCAATAAATGTTAGCACATATTAGTGTTCCATTTAAAAGTGTAATCATCATTAATATTATTATAATTACTACTGTCTCAAAGTATCAACCCTATAGCACAGGGAGGAGCAGGAACACCAGCAGAAATGATATGCTGTCTGTCATCATCCATGGACGGTATTGCAATGATCAAAAGGCTGGGAAGAGAATGCCTTTCTAAATAGAGGACAGAACGCTACAGTTAAACCATACAGCGAAACAGGGCCAGAGTAGCTATTATGAACCAAGACCCATGTTTTCTGTATAAACCATACCAAGCCAAATGTCACTGAACATTAAGTTTGTACATAGTGGCATTGTTTTAAAGAGAAATATCTGTTTTTCTGTAGCATCTACTCTAAAATATTATACAAAACTATGGATACTACACATCATGATGCTCCTGTGAAATGGAAAGAAAAGAATCAAAATATATTCTCTCTATTCTTACCTTGAATTTTTTAATTCCAGTAAAAATACTGACAGATGAAGTATCAGTCTCTCCACTTGGTTTGCTGTCAGTCACAATTACAATCACCTTATCCAATGCCACTTTCATTCGGTTGAATACTCCTTCTTTGTTTTTATGGGCTGATTCGCAGTTGGGATGCCTGAGACATGTCTTCAAAATAATTGAAAAGTTTTATTATAAGATATGACCAGTATCATAATATACAAATTCTTACAGAGAACATGTCATGCTAATAAAAATGGTTCTTTACCAAAGTCTCCTGGGTCCCTGGCTCACCCAGATGCTCTCCTCACTAAAAGTGGAAGCAGGATGAGTAAAAAGTGATAGCAGGTTAAAGGAAAAAGGCAGAGTGCAAAACTTTATCTTTAGACTTCAGTAAGTTTACTTTAAAAAACCTATATCTTCATCATAATAAAACTTTTAAAATGTTGCCTTACATGCGCAAGAACTAAAAAAGAATGAGAGAAAATGAACAGATGTTATATGACTCTGGATACATCCTAGACTTTTAAAAAACGATGTGAATAAAAAACTACTCAAGGGCCTACCTACGAACAGTGCCTTCCAAGTGGGCTCCAGTGAATTTTGGTTTTGTGGCCTCATGGATTCTAGCATAAAGTAAATACTCTGGGCACAAAAGGCAATTCTGAACTTTCATTTGTTCATTCCTGAATTGTACAAATTTGCCAATCAACTGCTATTTGGAATTGTAAGTGTTTGATTGACAATTTTGTTAGCAGTAGAATAAGGAATTAGAGGTATGAATTTACAGAGTAAACAAACTAATGGCTGACCTACTACTCCATTGTTACTTAGCAGATTCTAACTTGCCTAGCTTTTTCTAAAGCATGTGTGCTGGCTCCCCAGTGAGACTGGTAAGACCTGCAGGCAGCGACCATGTGAATCAAGCCTTGATTCACAGCATCTAATACACCATTGTCTGCTCAGTTGCTCAATTACAGCTGACTCGTAGATTAATGGCTCTTTAGAACTGGGGGAGGAAGTTAACATTCTTGCTAAAGAATAATTGAGATTTGATTATTACAGCCTATATTCCAATTTATCACTTTGATCTTTTTTAAAATGTAAAATATATAAATCAGATGCACTTAATCAGGTTTTCCAATTAATTTACAGCACAGTAAGACAAAAATGTTCTTACCTTTGAAGCTGTCAGAAGCATCATTGTACACTTTTCAAGAACTGCCCTAGCTGCTGCCATTTTTGCCTTTTTCTTTTCATCTTTCAAATCCTAAAAATGAAACAAAATCATTGAGCAGTCTAGGAATATGTAAAGAATCTAATTTCTTGAAAATTCATTTATTTAGCAATTCCATAGCATTGTTTAAAAGTGACAAAGTGAGGAAAAAACCCAAATTTTATAAAATGTCACTACTTCAGTTTAAATACATCAACACAACAAAATGGAAAGAAACAGCTGCCCTTAATAAGGGTGGCAGAAACAGCAACTGAGGACAAGTGGGACACTGCCATGTGGCCCCCACTCTGGTGACCTGCACACCTGATGCTCTCGTGCCCATGTGCACACAGTTTACTCCCATCCAGGAACAACTATCCTATGCTTTACTTAATTAAAAGTTACTTATTTAAGATAAATTAAAGAGGACACTAACAAATGGAAACTCATTACATGCTCTTGGCTAGGAAGAATTAAAATTGTCAAAAGGGCCATCCTGCCTACAGTAATCTACAGATTCAATGCAATGCCTATCAAAATACCAACAACATTCTTCAACAAACTGGAACAAATAGTTTTAAAATTCATATGGAACCGCCAAAGACCCCAAATAGCCAAAGCAATCCTGAGAAGGAAGAATAAAGCAGGGGGCATCTCGCTTCCTAACTTCAAGCTCTACTACAAAGCTACAATAATCAAGACAATTTGGTACTGGCACAAGAACATACCCACAGACCAGTGGAACAGAAGAGAGAGTCCAGATATTAATCCAAACATATACAGTCAATTAATATACAATAAAGGAGCCATGGACATACAATGGGGAAATGACAGCCTCTTCAACAGCTGGTGTTGGCAAAACTGGACAGCTACATGTAAGAGAATGAAACTAGATCATTGTCTAACCCATACCCAAAAGTAAATTCAAAATGGATCAAAGACCTGAATGTAAGTCATGAAACCATAAAACTCTAGAAAAAAACATAGGCAAAAATCTCTTGGACATAAACATGAGCGCCTTCTTCATAAACATATCTCCCCAGGCAAGGGAAACAAAAGCAAAAATGAACAAGTGGGACTATATCAAGCTGAAAAGCTTCTGTACAGTGAAGGACACCATCAATAGAACAAAAAGGCATCCTACAGTAAGGGGGAATATATTCATAAAGACAGATCCGATAAAGGGTTGACATCCAAAATATATAAAGAGCTCATGCACCTCAACAAACAAAAAGCAAATAATCCAATTAAAAAATGGGCAGAGGAGCTGAACAGACAGTTCTCCAAAGAAGAAATTCAGAAGCCAACAGACACATGAAAACATGCTTCACATCGCTAGTCATCAAAGAAATGCAAATTGAAACCACAATGAGATATCACCTCACATCAGCAAGGATCGCCACCATCCAAAAGACAAACAACAACAAATGTTGGTGAGGTTGTGGAGAAAGGGGAACCCTCCTAGACTGCTGGTGGAAATGTAAACTAGTTCAACCATTGTGGAAAGCAGTATGGAGGTTCCTCAAAATGCTCAAAATAGAAATACCATTTGACCTAGGAATTCCACTTCTAGGAATTTACCCTAAGAATGCAGCAGCCCAGTTTGAAAAAGACATATGTACCCCTATGTTTATCACAGCACTATTTACAATAGTCAAGAAATGGAAGCAACCTAAGTGTCCATCAGTAGATGAATGGAAAAAGAAGATGTGGTACATAGACACAATGGAATATTATTCACCATAAGAAGAAAACAGATCCTACCATTTGCAACAACATGGATGGAGCTAGAGGGCATTATGCTCAGTGAAATAAGCCAGGCGGAGAAAAACAAGTACCAAATGATTTCACTCATATGTGGAGTATAAGAACAAAGAAAAAGCTGAAGGAACAAAACAGCAGTAGAATTACAGAACCCAAGAAGGGACTAACAGTTACCAAAGGGAAAGGGACTGGGGAGGATGGGTGGGAAGGGAGGGATAAGGGGTGGGGGGGAAAGGGAGCATTACGATTAGCATGTATAATGTTGGGGGGTGCACGGGGAGGGCTTTGCAACACAAAGACAAGTAGTGGTTCTACAGAATCTTACTATGCTGATGGACAGTGACTGTACTGGGGTTTGTGGGGAGACTTGGTGATGGGGGGAGTCTAGTAAACATAATATTCCTCATGTAATTGTAGATTAATGATACCAAAAAAAAAGTTACTTATTTATGGAGGACTTACAGGCTATTATTTCCTTCAGAATAGATGCTCAGAAGTCAACTCTTTTAGGAACCATGTCTGATTTAATCCCTTCTAAATGCTTAGTCATCTCAGTATGAGTTGTTTGCCCTAAACTTAACCAATGTTGCTCTGAAATGTTCTTAAGATGTTTCTTGGGTATATATTTTTCCCCAGTGAGATTATGAACTCTGAAGCAGGCACTATGTTTTTAATTTTTTTCTTTTTGTTTCTCTTCATAGAGCCCTTAATAGAATATGTGCTATTACTGAGGGTAACCCATACTGCTTATCAAATCTAGGACCAAATATCCTCATAATAATTTAGTTATGACCACCTGAATCAGAGGTCAGAAAACATTTTCGACAAAAGGCCAGACAATAAATTTTCTAGGCTTTCTAGATCATACGGAACAACTACTTAATACTGCCATTGTAATGTGAAGATTGCCCTAGACAACACATAAACAAATTAACATAGTTTTGTTCCAATAAAATTTTGCTTATGGACACTTAAATTTGAATTACATAAAATTTTCACCTGTCACGTTAGTCAGTCTTTTTTCATTTGTGAATTGTGTGAAAGCCCTTTCTTATAAATAACAAAGACCTAAAGTTTGAGAATTATTTGTTTTAGTAAATTAGGCTAGATTCAAAGTTATCCCTGTAAGATTATCACTCTCTTTCATTTGCACCCCAATATGGCTTTCAGTAATAGGAAAGAAAGAAATGAAATTACATCTAGTACATAAGAAACTATGCATAACCCAAAAGCAAATTCCGGTCACAAAGTCACATCCCAAAGGACTGTGTCCTACATGTGACTATCATCCATCTTGAGTATCTGTCAAAAATAATGGTTGAGGTCAATTCTTAAATTTCTATCCAATCCTATTGTCTTTAACATACTGGACAGGACTTTTTGCAAAATAACCTATGGGTCTGGTTGACAACACATCAAGTGTGTATGCCACACCTAACACTTGTAAGCCATACACAATAACCATACATTGTATGATGATAGCAAATAACTGAAAATGACATTTCAGTCTTTTAGAGGGCTAGACCACAGAACAAAACAAGGGCCTCCATAAAACCCAGATGGTCCAAGAGGCACTAAGTGAAGCGCATTATCCAGCCTGTCACTTTCTAGGCTGACATTTTCCAACGCCAGCTACAACCAGGAAAGTTCATGCCCAACACAATAGTCCACAGGACTATACCAAAGACAAGGCTAATTCTTATATATGTAACCTGCTGACAAGATGGACTCATGCATAAATACCCCAATAACAAAGAACCAATTCTAAATATAATAGGATCTTCTACCTCCCTAAACTTAGGAGCTTATAATCTGAATTGAGGAGCAGATCTATAAAAGACTAATATCATGGTGTAGTTTGAAAACAACAGAATCTAAAATCAGACATAACTGAGTTCAATCTGCTGGAAGAGTGATCTTGGGAAGGTTTATTATTCTCCGAGGTTCAGTTTCCTCATGTGTGAACCAGTGATAACAATACATACCTAATAGGGATGTTTCCAGAATTAAATGAGATCATGTATATTAAATACCTAACACAGAGCCAATGCAAATAAGTAATGGCTTGGGTTATTTCTATTAATATAATGCAGAATAGTTACATAAAGACACAACAGCAAAATAATATATAACAAGCTACAAAAAGAGTAACAGAGATATATAACAAAATACTTCTAAGAATATAGATAATGATTCAGTTTATTTGCCTGAGCCCTGGTAGGAGAGTCAAATGCAAAGTTTCACAAAAGAGGAAACATTAGTACTGGGCCTTAAAAACAAGCATGACCTTTCCCAGTGTATGAGGTGGGAACATATTTCCCAGTGTATGAGATGGAAAAATATTTACCTTTTTCCATTATGGAAAAAAACAAAAGTCATATAGATTTACTTACTTTATCCTGGCTTATTTATAAAAGGCTTTCAATGCCAAGATTATAGATTTAATATGCAAAGAAACTAACCCAAATGATCACAAAGATCACAACTCCATCCAAAGTGGAAAGTATATGTGTATTTGAAGATTTTAATATGTGGCAAATACATACATTTTGTCTATCCCCAGTAAGATGTGCAAACTCCACCATTTCATTTCCAAATTGACTGAATATTTGGACAAACTCTTGAAAGCTATTCACTTTCTCTAGTCTTTCCATAGTTGCAAGAACCTGCAAAACAGAATATTTTATTATCAGATTTAGATGTGAGAGACTGAGATGTCAAGGCTGAGTAGAGAGGGGAAAAAATAAATTTTAAATCCTGAGAGTGAGCTGAGAAGGAGAAGTCAGAGAAGACAGGGAAGGAGGTACTAAAAGAAGTAGCAGCAGATTCAGAAGTTAGGATCATCTAGGGAATGATTTGTTTTTACAAGAAGACTTGGCTTACTTAGAAATTAAAAGGAAAAAATGACTAAATATATAAGAGAAGAGATCATTTACATATAGCAAAGTCTGAAGAAGGTGGGAAAAGGCCTGACCAAGGTCATCAAGTCTTCAGAGAACCAGGAAAGGAGTGAGGATAAAAGACAATACACAGAAGCTTTAAAGTTCAGTGAACCAGACCTGGGGGGACTCTATTCTTCTCAGGGAAGTGGAAGAAGGTCATCAGCAGGGTGAGGAATGGAAAGGGAGGTTTGGAACTTTAAGTGCAAGAAAACAGTTTGGACCAGTCAGGAACTGGCAAGAAGCTTTGGGCAGTCAGGAGTGAATAAAAAGCGTGAACTTGTAGTAGAGCCAACAAACCATATTATGTGTTTTTCAACATTGGAAATAAAGTAAATAGATGTGAAACATATTTTCAAATACTTTTCTCTAAAATAACAGTACTAGATTAGTTTTACTCAGACAAAGTTAAGTAAAGAAAACACAGATATCCTGTGTTTACTTATTTTTAATGAGGCTATGATGGATGTTGGCATGTTAATCTGCCCTGACAACTCAGGAAATCCAGGCGACCAACACAGATAAAGCAGACCGCCACCACTGAACAGAAACTCCATCTGTCAAAGAGAAGGTTTTTGAATCCCTCTAGCACTGCCTGATCCATCCGTCCAATTTCTTTCTCTCTTTAAAATTACACTTTTTGATTCATTCAGCACCCTTCAGGTAGATTTGTCCTTGAATGCTATTGGGACAATCCCCTCCCTCCTCCTGCCTAGGAAATTATCCAGGGAAAGAAATGGCTATACACACCCTGTGTCCCAGGATCATGGGAGGGGCATGATAGTTATCTGAGAGGCTGTAAGAGTTCTAAACTAGAAGAGTTTAAAGATATATTCTAAGTTTTGTGATGGTTCAGTAATATTTAGGGACTCCATTCAGAAATTTTATAGTATGGATAATTGTACTTGCAGATGACTGAATTTTTTCTTAAGCATATGAATTATTACCCACTGACTTGGGGAAAAGAAAGGTACAGAGGAATTCATTGTTTTTATCAACCACATTTCTACTACACATTGTTAAGGTGGTCAGCTTTTCTTCCCAAATCTGTACACAAGAAAAACTTTCACCAATAAGCCTCACCAAACAGATAATGGTTTTCTAAGAAGAAACATTATTTGCATTCAAAAGAGCAGTTCTAGTACACACATCATTTAGGACTTAGAGGTCCAGAAGAAACACCACTTTATAAACTATAGGCCAAACTATAGCCAATTAAAATAAACAACCACTGCCACATTACCTGCAATTAGCCTACAAACACTTCTTGAACAATCCCGAGAGATGCAGTATAGAAACACCAGAACGACAAGTACCTTATTTCTGGATGTTATTATCTGCTTGATGACTACTCGATCTGCCAGCAGCAACACTTTTGTCACTGAAGAAAGAAGTAATCGTGCAGCCTTTATAACTCCTGTTCTGTCTGTAAAAATTGTGACCTGGCCATCAGATTCTGGACAATTCAAGCTGCTGACATCTGTGAGTGCTGCGATTGTTTCTCCTAACAAGAAAGGCAAAGGGGGAAAGTGAAATTGGGAATAAGAAAAACTTAAATTAAAATTCCGACTTCTCTCTAATCTTCAAGGTCATGGACTCAATGCGCAGACACTGGCTTTGGAGTCTTATTTCTGGAACAAGAAACAGCTTCTTGATGAGCACAAGGATTATCATCTAAACCTCTCTGTTGATAAAATAATGGCTCATCTTTAAGAACTGTGAAAAACTGACTGCCTTCACAAAGTTTGAAAAGTATCATAACGTTAGTTTCCAGTGGTATGGCACACTACATGATCTAAAAAGCCTCCTGCTGCACAAGACCAAGCGCGAGGAATCCCAGGGACCAATAACCAGAAAAGAACCTAGAAGCCGAGCAGTAAGCAGCTGCCAAGGCTTTGGCTAAGGGTGCGGAGGAAGAGGGACCACGTAGGGGGTTACTCTCCATCTCCACAACCTGAAGGGGCTTGGGTTTTATGGACACCCAGGGAGAGAGAACTAGGCTTAAGCCCCAACAGGAGGCATCCTCAGTGAGAAAGGGGCCTAGAAGAATCATCCACAGGCAAAGGGAAACAATAAGCAAGTTCACATGTTGATCAGCCTGGACTCTGGATGGGAAAACAGAAGAAAAGCATCTTTCCTGAGAACTCAAACCCCAGGCTGACCCTCAGGGCTTGATGCTTGAATTTGTACTTCTTATGATGACCAGCACAAACCATTCTATCAAGTGAAATCCCAACCCTCTTGAAAAAGTTTCTTCTTCACTCCTGCTATCTGAACACAGGAAAACTCAAAAGATAAGACACTAGGTATGAATTGGTTACATATCATAATAGCTGATGCTCCACTAATAGATGAAGTCTAGTGGCTCCCAATGATACCCACCCTCTGGTATTTACATCCTTGTATTGTCTCCTCCCACATCATACCAAGTATGACAGAAGGGATGGTAGGTCATCTCCAGGATTAGGTTATTAAAGACACTGAGGTAGCTCTCTTGGTTGCTCTGTCTCTGAGGGAAGCCAGCTACCATGCTGTACAACTGCCGACAATCAAGACAGAGAGCTGGGAAGCAGACCCTGCAGTCCAGTCATGCCTTCAGGTAACTAACTGAAGCCCTAGTAGACCTGTTGAGTACAACCTCCTGAGAGACACTGACCCAGAACCAGCTGGTTACACCACTCAGCAATAAGTAACTAATACAGAATTTATACAGCAAAATATACAGAGAAAAAAAGAGGTTAGAATTAAACCTTAATTCACGCAGAAAGGGACAGGAGTTAAAAATACTAGTTTGCAATATGTGAAAGGATAAAAAAGTTTCCTCTGTACCTCTGGAAAATGTTATTTTTTTCCTGTGGTTTCCAGTCATCAAGGATATTACATAGGAGCCTGCACATATGGCATTATTTAACCTTTCTTTTTTCTGACTAAATCCCTGGCATGTAACTCATAAATACGTGGGATGGTAACATTTGGTTAGCTCCACCAACAAGGTCAAATGCTTCCTCAATATTACAAGTTGGTCAAAGTGCAGACTGTTCAAAAATTAGTGTCCTGAAAAGTCACAGTCATCTTATAGTTTCACAGCTGTTGTTTTTAACTTGTTTATGTAACTAGTTAGTATTATATATTAATACAAACATCTGAAGTCAGTCAAATAATACATATTTATTAAGCTCCCACATAAAATATAAAACTTGACCAGCATCCAAGTAAAAAGTAAAAACATGGTGTGGGTAGACTGAATGGGTGGAGTCAAAAGGTACAAACCTCCAGTTATAAAATAAGTAAGTCATAGGGATGTGACGTACAGCATGGCGACTATGTTTAATAATATTGTATTGCTAAGAGAATAAATCTTAGAAAAGTCACAAGAAAAAAATTTATAACTATTTTTGGTGATGGATGTTAACTAGACTTATTATGGTGATCATTTCCCAATATATAGAAATCATTATGTTCTATACCTGAAACTAATACAACATTGTATGTCAATTATATATATTTTTAAAGTAAGAATATAATGTAAGAGTTCAACACAGGGAAAGAAAAATAAAAAATAATTACAATGCCATCTAATATCTATCAAGTACTTTCTATGTGCTAAACACATACATGAATTATTTCAAAATATCTCTATAAACACTAAAATTATCCCCATTGCATAGATGAGAAAAGCGAGGTTTAAATAAATTTAATAGCTTGTCCAATATTACACTTTTACCAAGCAGAAGAGTTAGGACTGAAATTCAGGCAATCTGACTCCAAAACCCTAGTTTTTGTTTTTGTTTTGTATCACCACTCTATATAATTTCCCTTAAATGAGTATTAAATTTTCCAGCAGAGAAGTTGTGAGTGAGCTAGAAACACTTCAGGAGTGATTTAAGTCTTAATCTGTACATGTTAGAGAAAACAGAGCTTCCATATTACACAAATCCAGGAAGCACCTGGGTTTCTAGATTCATTCTCTTACCTGAGCAACTATAAGAGGCAGTTCTCAAGAAGAAAAAGGCCATTTCAAATGAGGAGACATGTGGAGCCCATGATATCAGACATCAGATTTCCAAAAGGCTCCAGTAGGAGCTGCCTGGGCTTACAGTACTTGGAGAGCACACAACCCATGGGATGGTGGCGAGTGTGCCATCCTCTTTTCTCACCCTACACTGGGCAGACTGACATGCTACAGAGCCAATAAGATGAATAGGACTTGGGTTGCCCTTTCATTAAAAAGTCCCTACTCTTTGCCTAAATGGTTTTCTTGGCTTCACTGGAGATGGCTGGTAATTACAGATTTGCTTTGTTTATGTCACCGTATTCCTATTATGTTAATATGTGAGAGCAAGTTAGTTAGTAGTTTAAAACCTATACATGCATAAGGTACTCTACAAGAAGATATGTCAAAGAAATAATCAATCCTCCCATGTTTTCTTCCATATGCTACCTCTATAGCTTTTCTTCTTCCTTCCTAATTACAACCCTTAAATAGAATTCGTGCCTCATATCGAATTTACCGAGTATCATAATTCCTCCAGGTGGTAAAGATACCTCGAGACAAGTGCTGGGCATAGAAGCCACAGGGCATAAATCTGCAAAGAAGTAAAAAGCTAACCTTTTCAAACAATATGGCTTCTCTCTCACTTACCAACTTTACATTTCCCTGTATGGCCCCGGAAGATGACTGGTTAGCCAGAGACGGGTAAGATTCCTCAAGGGAGGAACAACCTAAGACAGGCACAGTCGCAGGGGGGCCATCAGGTGAGAAATTGGGGATCAACAGAGGTGAGGCTCAGAACCTCACCCCCCCTGCTTTGAGAGAAATCTTCTGCATCCGTGGATGTCTTGCTGCCCTTGTCTAGCCTGGATTAATACTTAGTCCATAGGCACACACCTGATCATCTGATCATCTA